TGGCCAAACAAAGATCGGCTCCGATCAAAACGTCGGCCTCGATGAGCTCTCCGACTTTGCCTTAAGCGCCAATATCAAATTCCTAAAGGTTAGAGAGATATCTTGGCTTATTTTGATAGCAACATGAATTTTTTTTTATTTTTTATTTGCAAATGATGATATGAACATGAAATTGAATGGGATACTACATACATAGCAGGTATAATGAATACTTTAGTCATTTTGCATCTTTAATTAACGTTCTTTCTGAATTTGTTACCCCATCTAATAGTTGAGAAGGATTTTTTTGAAATAAAAATAGTCAAGGGCAGTTTAGTAAAAAAGGGTGAAACTCAGATAGGGATTTTTTACTTTGCCCTAAAATCAATTACCAAATATAACTCGAGCTTCAAAAGTTTTCCCCATCTTGCAGCTCTATGTATTATCTAAACATTAAATACGGGTTACACATTTCAACTTCAACACGGTACAAATATGACAACTAAGACAATATTAAATTATAAAATTAACCTCAACTTACTAAACATCAAAAATAAAAAAAAAACAAAAAATAAAAACCAACAACTAAGAAACATAAATATAAGTAGTTGATTAGCCAATAGAAGGCCAAGTCTTCTATTCTAAGCCACTTATCAAGACAACCCTCGATCTTCTGATTAAACCACCTAAACATCCATAATTTAAAGGAAAGTTAGCCGCCCCAAAAGTGTTTTTAATGTAAAGGAGTCCATTGATATGGTGGGCAAGTGCAACTTATAACATATGAATATATATTGATTACCTCATCATTCTTTGATTGTTTAATCAGTTATATCTGTTCAAATTTATCAATTACATTAAGGCACGTAGGAGATTGGTTTTAACGCAAGGATAAAGTGGCTGTATTTTGACATTGAAGTCACAGATTTGAAATCGAAAACAAATTTCATGTAGAAATAAGAATATTTACATCTGACCCTCCTCATACACTGTAATGACGGAAACAACTAGTGTATTGAGCTATCCCTTTATTGAGACGTGCAGCCTTATCACCTAAATACTACAGGGAAAATGTGTATGGCTTGCCACCATTGGTTTATTTTGAATCTATGTGCGACTTTGGTACACCTGAGCAATGTCTAGAAATTAGGAAGCATATGCAAATACTATGATGCAGCTAAGTATATTAAAATAAGCAATCCACCTTTTTTTGAAAAGATATACGTACAAGAGAAGGAACAGGAAGGATAAGCTAGGATATGAAAAATGACCACTTCAATATTTTCATCAGTTGAAGTGGTCATTGTTAAAGTCTTCAATAGATGAATATGTCCATGTAAGCTGAGGAAAATAAATGAGAAGTGGCTATGATGGTTGCTGAAGAACAATTCTTACTAGAAATAGTAAAAAAGGTTAACCATTGAAAACATAGGGAAGCACATTGACTAATTCAAGTACTCTCTATCTATAAATAGTAACCTTTCCCCTGCTACATTTTCTCACCTTTCACCAAAGCAAATCTTACAAAGAATAGTAAATTTAGAGAGTTTGTGATTTTGTGATTGCTTAACCATGATTAAGATGAGCTTTCACTTCCTTTTAGCCACAACCATCTTGGCTTTTGCTTTGTCACTTGTCTATGCCTCTGATCCTAGTCCTCTGCAGGACTTCTGTGTTGCTCTTGATGATCCCAAGTCTGCTGGTATATGTTCTCTCTCTCTCTCTCTCCTTTGTTTGTCATTGTTTTTTGATCATTTGTGTTTGTATTGTTTGTGTTGTGACAAACTTTATTCTTATATAGCTTAATATAACACCTATATATTCCTTTGGGTGCAGTGTTTGTAAATGGGAAGTTCTGCAAGGACCCAAAGCTTGCCACAGCCAATGATTTCTTCTTCTCAGGGCTAAATATTCCTAGAAATACGTCGAATCTAGTTGGTTCGACTGTGACTCCTGTAAATGTTGTCCAAATACCAGGACTCAACACTCTTGGTATATCTTTAGTACGCATCGACTATGCACCCAAAGGCCTCAACCCGCCTCACACGCATCCACGTGCTACTGAAATCCTTGTTGTCTTGGAGGGTACCCTCTATGTTGGATTTGTCACCTCCAATCCTGATAATCGTCTCTTCACTAAGACCCTGTACCCTGGAGATGTTTTCGTGTTCCCGGAGGGACTAATTCATTTCCAATTCAATGTGGGGAAGACCAAGGCAGTGGCATTTGCTGGACTGAGCAGCCAAAATCCTGGGGTTATCACCATTGCGAACGCAGTGTTTGGGTCAAATCCAAAGATTTCTGCTGATGTTCTAACCAAGGCTTTCCAGGTTGACAAGAAGGTGGTTGACTATCTTCAAGCACAGTTCTGGTGGGACAACAATTAGAAAACTTATGGACATCTCTACAACAATAAAAAGCAAACCCATGATTTTTTATTTTTATTCTTGTTTGTTTGTTTGTTAAAAATAAGTAGATGTCATCTTCTGCTCCCAGTCATATTTCAATAGTATAAATAAGTACTGGGCTTGTTATGTATGTACTTCTCATTTGTTACAAAAGGTTTTCTCATAATAATATATTTTGTTTATTAATAAACACTCTTCTGTTCTCCTTTCAACACACACACATTAACAAGTACACATTAATATTACTTGAGCATTAGCTTCAAAATTTCAAATAGAGATAAAGAATGTATGTTACTGAAGAATACTCATATTGCTCTGATATGCATTGAGGATACATGCAACATTGCTACTTTAAGATATATGGCTTGGATAAAGTATATATAATACCCTACAAAATTGAAACCGGGACCAGAAAAGTATTTGGTCACACTGTCACACGCCATATTGATCTTCCAAGGGATAGAAAATGATTGATCACCCAGCTAGCCAAGCTAATTAACTAAATCAATACACTTTCTAGCGGGAAAAAAATTGCAGACTATGCATTTCTCTTTTGTGGACCAGTTTTTGTCATGTCTTGCTTCAAATTGCCAGAGAGCTAGGTTATGTAAGCATACAAACTTCCAATTTCTGAAACTCTTGTTTGAAACTGAAGATGAGAGAAGACTTGGCTTAGTTGGTATGAAGTTGTGGCCTGAATTTGTTTTGCCCGGATCATGTTGTGACCTGGTTTTGACCCGGTTATGGGATTCTCTTGTAATTCAGTATATAAGTGCGTTTAGAATTTGGAGTGCAGTATGAAAAAAACAATGAAAGCCTTAGTTTAGAAAGTGAGATTGAGAGAGGGTTTAGGGGTTGAGGGGCTGAAATTTGAAATCTCCTAATTTTTGCCTAGTGAAATCTTTAGCTGATCTTCATCGGTGGATGTAGGCACTAAGCCAAACCGTATAAATCTTTGTATTCTATATGTGGTATGTGTTTATTTTCTGTCAGTTTCTTGATTTGTTCTTGGTTTGGCAACATTTTCGTGACAGTTGGGACAAACTGAGCAAAGAAAAAGTTAGGCTTCAATTATGCAGAGTAGTTCAACCTAACAATTACTCAAATGGGAAAATATTTGTCTAAAAGGTTGTTTAAGGGAAGATCATTCCCAATTCCCTCCTTTCTAGAAGGCCACAGAAAGGTTTAATCCTTCTTGTGCTTAGAAAAGCATTCCTGAAGGAAGGGAAGTGTAGGATAGGAATGATTGGAAGACAAGGTCAAGGAGCTGTCTCTCTTGATCATGAAACTGAAAAGATCCTTAACAACCCCAACTTCAAATTTATGGGTTCGGTTTAACATACTGCAAAAAATGAGTTAATATATTTTTCCAAGGTTAACCTCATACTATGGAAGAAAGCCAAACTCTATATTGAAATACAATTCAAATCAAAGTATATATTTTCCTCTTAATATATTCCCAAAACAATTCCTTCAAATTCCATAACTTCGCATTTTCAAAAGTAAAGCAGTTATGCACCCTTTTGAAGGTCTTCCATGTCACAAAAAGGGCTCATTCTGTATCATGATCCATATCCGTCAGGTAACACTTCTAATTGGTAGCATTCTTCTTGTTGTTCAACTGATCCATTTAGTCATAAGATGGCCTCTAGAAACCCTACCTTGCTATTACTAAGGAAGAGTAGTCTATGAATATCATATGTTGTAGAGGAAAGTAAGCCGGCCCTCTACAGTGTTTGTAGTTTCAATGAAGAGATGGAGGCAATTGCAACTTAGAATAGATGGATAGACATTGATTACCTCACCTTCTTTGATTGTTTTATCAGTCAGACTTGTCAAATTTTATCAACCACATTAAAGTGCAGGCCTCATCACCCATATACAAGGAGATTACGTATGGCTGGCTTGGCCTTCTCTGGTTGAGTCTACGTGAGACTTTGGCACGCCTGAGTAAAGTCTTCAAATCACTCAGCAGACGCAATTCAACATCTACGAAAAAATATACATATAAGAGAGGAGGAATTAAGGATAAGCTACGACATGAAAAATGACCACTTCAATGTGTTGATCAGTTGAACTCATCGTTGTTCAAGTCTTCAGAAATAAATATGTCAATGTAAAGCTGAGGAAAAATAATTGAGAAGTGGGCGATGATAGTTGTTGAAGAACAATTACACTGAAATTTTGTATGGCTTGAACTTTTTTGATTTATTTTGTGTCTACCGATATGACTTTCGCACACCTGAGCAAAGTCTTCAAATCAACCAGCATACGCAAACACTATGATGCAGCTAAATCTTAAATGACCAATTCAACATCCATGAAAAATATATACATATAAGAGAAGAAAAGGATAAACTAGGATATGAAAATGACCAATGTGTTGTTCAAGTATTCAACAGATAAATATGTTGATGTAAAGCTGAGGAAAAATGAATGAGAAGTGGGTGATAGTTGTTGAGGAACAATTCCTTCTTGAAATAGAATTAAAAAGAGGCTAGCCATTGAACACATAGGGAAGCTCATTGACTAATTCAAGGACACTCTTTCTATAAATAGCCACTTTTTGCTTGCTAGATTTTCTCATCTCTCACCCAATCATTCTTGCAAAGAATGGTCCACTTTACTCCAAATAGTATCAAGATGGGCATTCACTTCCTTTTAGCCACAACCATCTTGGCTTTTGCATTCTCTCTTGCCTCTGCCTCTGATCCAAGCCCTCTGCAGGACTTCTGTGTCGCTGTTAAAGATTCCAAGTCTGCAGGTACATGCTCTCTCTCATGCTTTATCTTCCTTATATTTGTCTTTCAATCTCACATCTGTACCCTTTTTTTTTTTTTTTGCCTCAATATAACATTCCATTGCTTTGGCTGCAGTGTTTGTGAATGGGAAGGTATGCAATGACCCAAAGCTAGCCACAGCCAATGATTTCTTCTACTCGGGGCTCAATATTCCTAGAAATACATCGAATGCAGTTGGTTCAACTGTGACTCCTGTAAATGTTGCTCAAATACCAGGACTCAACACTCTTGGTATATCCTTAGTACGCATTGACTTTGCACCTAAAGGCCTCAACCCACCCCACATGCATCCACGTGCTACTGAAATCCTTCTTGTCTTGGAGGGCACTCTCTATGTCGGCTTTGTCAATTCCAATCCTGAAAATCGTCTCTTCACTAAGACCCTATACCCTGGAGATGTTTTCGTGTTCCCTGTGGGGCTAATTCACTTCCAATTCAATGTGGGGAAGAACAAGGCAGTGGCATTTGCTGGACTGAGCAGCCAAAATCCTGGGGTTATCACCATTGCAAACGCAGTGTTTGGATCGAACCCAAAGATTTCTGCTGATGTTCTTACCAAGGCATTCCAGGTTGACAAGAATGTGGTGGACTATCTTCGAGGACAGTTCTGGTGGGACAACAATTAAGAAAGTTATAGGCAATTCTACAATAATAACAAGCAAACCCATGAATGATTCTTTTTTCTTTTTGTTAAAAATAAGCAGATGTCATGTAATACTCCTAATCATGCTTAATTCAATAGAATAAATAAGTGATTTTTTATATTTATTTATTTTTATGTACTTCTCAATTCTCATTAGTTAAAAAGGTTTTCTAATAATTTAATTGTTTGAGCATTCACTTGGAGGCCTCATATTGCTCTGAATTGGCATTGAAGATACAATATTACTTTAAAGTATGGATTGGATAAAGTTTAGTACTTTATTAAATTGAAATAAAACTAGACCAGAAAAGTATTTCATTTGCCAAGGGGTAGAGAATGGTTTATGACCCAGTTAGCTATCCTAGTTAATTAAATTCAGACTTACTTGCAGGAAAAGAAGAAGTAACACCAAATTAATTCAAACTAATTAAAGACCATCCAATATTGTATAAAATACTTCATTAATGTCTTGTTCTGTTTTTTTTTGGGATCGGTTATCTGAATTATGTTTCACTATATCGCTTTATTTAAGCAAATTCAAATAAATCACATGCTATCATATCTTAAGCTCTAATCACCAAAAGCTAAAGGAACAATAAGCTTTATTGGAGGTTGGTCTCAAGGGACTATGGAAGGGGAGTCGATACTTCATATCCAAGTCTTCCACCTACTCGAAGTTAATGTGATATAAACAATAGATCAATTTTCCTTCTCCATGGGACCTTCTTTTTGTTAACAAGTCATTAGGCAATGCTTCTAATGGTTAGGCATAAAGAGTGTACAATATATCAGCCAGCATACGCAAATACTCTAATGCAGCTAAGTGTTAAACTAGCTAGCAATTGAACATTCTTGAAAAATGATGTTGAATAGTTGAACTAGTCATGCATTGTTCAAGAGAAAATATTCTGATCTAAGCGGAAAAATAAATGAGAAGTGGGTCATATATAGTTGTTGAAAATTTGTCCTAAATTTAACTAAAGCAATCTTACCATTGAAGGAACATAGGGTAAAACAGTAACTAACTCAAGAATTCTCTATCTATAAATTACCTGCTAGATTTCTCAACTCTCACCCATGCAATCTTGCAAAGTATAGTCCAAATAAAGTGTGATTAATTGTTTGTGACTTCTTAACCATGATCAAGATGGGTAGTGTTCCCTTTTAGCCACAGCCATCTTAGCTTTCGCATTCTCACTTGCCTTTGCCACTGATCCTAACCAACTGCAGGACTTCTGCGTTGCTGTTGACATTCCCAAGCTTGGTGGTACGTATATGATCATCTCATTCATTCTCTTTCTCTCCCTTAATTACTGTATATTCGCTTTCTCATATGTGTATTATGATGTTCCACATTGCCTAGGAAATACCTCCTACATGTATAGACGCGTTTTGAAAAACGTGTCTGCATAGTATAAGATAGTGTTGACTGACATGTAGAGTGTCTATTTGATTCTCTTATATAGCTCAATAACACCTATTCCTTTGAATGCAGTGTTTGTGAATGGGAAGTTCTGCAAGGACCCAAAGCTCGTTGTAGCCGATGATTTCTTCTTCTCATGGTTAAATATTCCTGGAAACACATCAAATTCAGTTGGGTCAACTGTGACCCCTGCAAGTGTAGACCAACTACCAGGACTCAACACTCTTGGTGTATCCATAGTACGCATTGACTATGCACCTGAAGGTGGTCTCAACCCACCCCACACGCACCCGCGTGCTACGGAGGTCCTTTTTGTCCTGGAGGGTACTCTCTATGTTGGCTTTGTCACCTCCAATCCTAAAAATCTTTTCTTCACTAAGACCCTATACCCTGGAGATGTTTTCGTGTTCCCGCAGGGGCTAATTCACTTCCAATTCAATGTGGGGAAGACCAATGCAGTGGCATTTGCTGGACTAAGCAGCCAAAATCCTGGAGCTATCACTATTGCCAATGCAGTCTTTGGATCGGATCCACCCATTTCTGATGATGTTCTTGCCAAGGCATTCAAGGTTGACAAGAAGGTGATTGACTATCTTCAAGGGCAGTTTTGGTATGACAACTCTAGTTAGAAAAATTATGGGCATTTCTGCAGCAATAAAAAGCAAACCTATGAATCAGTACTTTTGTTAAGAATAAGCAGATATCATATCTGCAGAAGTGTGTGATTTTTTTCTTTTCTTGAAAGGTGTAAATAAGTGGGTTTTTTTTTTTTTTTTTTTTTTTAATTTGAATAAATGAAAGATTCAATACCATGTTAATTACCAAATGTGCACTCCAAATTGGCAAATTGTCATCAATATGTGTGTATATATCGACAAATATGTAGTGATATATATAACAACACTGACAAGAACTCAATTACCGAAAAAAAAAAAAAATACACTGACAAGAACTGAGTGCACTGGTACATGAATTCGCAGTGGACCTCAAGCAATTAAATTAATATTGCTTTAGAAATCGCTTCAAATAGAGAGAAAGAATGTCTGTGATCAGGAGGGCTCATATTCATCATAATTTTCCTTGAAGATACAACATTACTACTAAATTAATTGAAACTTAAACCAGAAAAGAGAGGAACAATAGAATGTTCAGTGACAAATCCTCACCTCCTCTACATACTTTGAATGTAGTAGCGAATGCAATTAGAATGAAGTTGTTCTCTGTCAAAATGTGTGAGTGCCCCTTTGCTGAAGAAATTGCAACCAAATGGAGCCTCCCATCATCTTTCTTTGATTTAACCCATACGAATCCCTTCTTTACATTTCCAAACAACAACCACAACCTCCCTGGACCACCCCCTCCACCCTCGCAGCCACGCCCGCAGCCGCCCCCACAGTACCCCGTGCTATGATGCTTCTAAGTTGTTGATCTTTCATGCCCATGTCTTTGATTGGGTTAGTATGTGCCTGAGTGGATATATTTACTGCAGGGTTCAATCTTTGTTTTGTATGGATTTATTTTCATATCTGTTGGGCCACTTTGTGGACTTCTCTTCTCTCTTCTTTAGCCCATCCTCACCCCCCGCCCGGGGGGGGAACCCCTGTATTTATTTTCTTTTTTTAATGCAAATCCTTAATTATCGAAAAAAAAAAAAGAAAAGAAAAAAAAACTTAAACCAGAAAATTATTTGGTTACAAAACCATTTTCATCTGCCATGGGGTTGACAATGGTTTATGATTCACAAACTCAGTCAAGGTAAGTGCCAACTAACTAATCCATAGATTTTTTGCGGGAAAGAAAAGTTGCACTAATTAATTTAGATTTTAAAAAGATATAATATTGTACAGTACTTCGCTTAGAAAACTAAAAAAAAAATCCTAATTAATTGCTTGTTCAAATCATTTCTATTACAGTAACATTATTGTGTCGATCAAGCAAATTAATCTTGTTATTTACTGCTTATACCCAACACTGAAAGTCAGCATTACTTGGCAAATAAAGTAAACATTAAAAAATAACTAATAGAAATATAAACATGCACTACACACGGAACACATGGGTTGGGTAAATCTTAGGTGAACATCGGGTAAAAGAGAATTCATTATATTCAGCTCCCAAACTCTTACCTGTCTCTCTCTCAAAAAAACCCTAAATGCCCGTGGCTACAAGATAGTCTCCAATCCGATCACACAAGCGGCAAAAGAATTTTGGTCATTTTTTTGTTACTTTCACCCTAGTCAGACATTATTTTATTCGCTTTTGGCTCGTTCGAACTAGAGACTTCTTAGGGGGTCACCAATCCTGGTACTATAATATTGTTGGCTTTTGGTTCACGCGGATCAGAGACTTCTCAGGGGGGTCACCTATCGTGGTACTACTCTAGGCCATTATGGCTTTAAAATATATTGTGTCATAGAAGGGTGTTGAATCTACATATAACACTTGCCCCTTCCACACACAGGCAATGTAGGATTGTGCACCTTTAGCTCGCCCAGTGTGGTAGTTTGTCAATGCCTTTCACACGCCCACGCACACCCGCCCATATTGGACAATCAACCCCCTTTGGAGCCCAACGTCCCATTGGCCACACTTTCGGCTGGCTAGGTTTTGATACCATTTGTAACTACTCTCACCCTAGCCAGTCACAATATTGTCTGCTTTTGGCTCACACGGACTAGAAACTTTCCAGAAGTCACCCATCCTGGTACTACTCTAGAAGTACGCTTAATTTTGGAGTTCTGATAAGTTCACGGCTTTAAAACGCGTTGTGTTATGGAAGGGTATTGAATCTACGTATAACACTTGCCCACACCCAGGCGATGTGGGATTGTAGACGTATTTTTGTCCAATATAATAGTTTGTCAGTGCCTCGCACTCAACCACGCACACCCGCCCACATTGGGTCGCCACAGTTATTCCTCGGTTGGTGATATTTTATGTTAAATTTAGGATGATAAACGATTGACTTTTTTTTTTTACATTTTTTTTTTCTTTCTCAATATTACATCTTTTGTCACATGGTTCAATCTGGATTACATTGATTTTAATTTTTTTTTTCTCTAACTAATTTTTCTATTTATTCAACTTCTCTCATTTCCATTTTTTTTTATGTACTTTCCCTTCCTTTCTGGATTATATTGCATTACGTTTCTACTCTCATAATGCAATCAACAATAGTGATTTGACAATTGTGGCAATTATGGTCTTATTTTTCTCTCTCTCTCTCTCTCTCGTTTTTTTTTTTTTTTGGTGGTTGATAAATTATTTAGAAAACTAAAAAGCGTTATCAAATAGTAAGTCCTATATCACGTCGTGCCAATTTGACATACGTGAGGGGCGGACAAATTATGGCATATGCGAGAAGTTGAGTTTTAAAATAATTGTGAACTGTTGAGAGAGTTAAAAATTTTATTTTTAGAATTTATAAATATTTAAGAAATTTTAGAGTATAGCTGTTAATTGTAAATGTGAAGGCCGAGGAGGACTCAGTATGGCATGTGCATGCATACTAGAATAATTGCCAATTTTTTAGAGAGTTGGAAAATTGTAGAATATTGAAAATTTTAAATCTTATGTTAAAAAACACTCTAAATAGTAGATTAATTGTTAATTGCAATATATTCTCTCCATTAGGGAGGAGGATGCCCCTATATATATATATATATATATATATATATTGGGAGGGAGTTTTATTTATAATATCAAGTGCAAGGGCATTTTTTTTCTAAAATTTATTGGGAAAAAATGAGTAAAAAATAATGTAGTTTTTTAAGTGATTATCATTTCTAATTCATTTATAATAGACGGACTGCAACTGGAGGGTTTGCAGGATGTGAGGAAAGAAAGTTAGTCAGAAATGTAGTGATATAATTTAATAATTTTATTGACTTTTTACCATTTGACACACAAGTATTTTCCATTCTTAAGAATACTCAGTTATTATACTTTTATGAAATTAATGACTAAAAAGTAAACTTAATAAGTTAAACATATACAATAATTATCATTATATTTATTTTGTTATTTTGTTTGTCTATAATCGTTTGTATTTGATAAATATAAAAGTAGAAGTACAAAACTAATTAGAGTTTTATGGACAAGATAAACTAACTTTCCTTTTTGGAAGGTGAATCAAATACCACGACCATTATATGCTGTAGTTTATTTGGGTGTGTTTAGTAACGTTTTCGTTTTCTGTTTTTGCAATCTTAAGACAGTAGAAACATAATTTTTGCTTTGTTGAGTGAAAATAGAAAATAAAAATGATGTTCATTAACACTTATTGTTACAAATTTGAAAACATAAAACAATAACTGTGTTTAGTAATACAATATATTTGTTACAAAATGTACATAATATTCTTTAAATTTTCTATTTTTTTCATAACAAGAATTTTAGGATTTATTGATTAGAGGGGAGGGTGAGGAGGAGGGTAGATGACTTGAATACGAACTCTCGAACACTGAGAGCAACCCAACTACTTAGGCACGATACTTGCTTCCATTAATATCAAAAAGTCATAAATCTAGAAAATCTAATTTAAAATTATAAATCTTAAAAATACCCCATACATCATAAGTAAAAAATTAGATATACCAAGACAAAAATATTCCCACCAATTATGCATATAAATATATGTATATGCATGATGTATACATTTATTATGTGATATATGATATATTTAGCATATGATAATTTATTATGAATAAAAAATATTAAATAATATATCTTGTATGTAATAAAATATATATTGTGTTATAATATTGTAATTAATTATAATTTAATATTTACATATAATATAATATAGATTTGATATATAATAATATAAAATATCTACTGCTTAATAATTTAATAACATTATATTCTATATCAAAAATTATTTTGTCACAAAAAATAATTTACATTATTATTTAATATATTATATATTAAAATATATTTTTATCAAATAAAAATAATATACAATATTTAATTTATTCTATATTAAAAATATGTATTTTTATTAACATTTAATATGCAACTTAGTATATAATACAAATAATATGAATTTTATTTGAAATGAATAGTGCCTGTGCAATAACATTAGTGAAAACGTTTATGTGCTATAGTACCGAAAATATAAGAAACATCATTTTGATGTTTTCTCTTTTCTTCACAAAAATTGAAAACGTTTTCTGTTATAGAAAAATAAAAACATTTTATTGAACGCGATTTTTGTTTTCTTTTTACCTTTTGAGAGGTTGACAATAGAAAACAAGAAACGTTTCTCATTACTAAACAGAGCCAATATGTTATGTTTTGTTTTGTTTTTTATTTTTTTGGTTGCAAGAAAATAGCACCCCATCGACCTTTTATTTTGAAAGACAAAAGGGCACTACTGAACGATAATCCTTAACTTTTGACAATCATTGATAAAGATATTTTAAGAGGTGAGACTAAATGGAGAGGGATCCTCTCCTGTGTCCAGTCCCTTCATTTAGTGATATACGCTAAACATTACAAATTTTTTTATAGTGTATATTCCAAACTGGAGGAACAGAATCAGTGTTTCACTGGAAGGGATCCGGGTCGAAGAGGAGATACCTGTTTATCATTACTTATTCAATAAAAAGACATTATCCTAATTAGAAATGAATGACTCTCTTCTACATCAACAATGAAATGATATTGTTTGAATTTCCCAATAGAGTAGGTTCGTTGAAATCAATGTCAGTATTTGTGTTTGGTAGACTATCCCATTCTCTCTTTTGTGGATCAGTTACAAAAGGAGACTAGCATATAATGCTGTATCAGATTTAGTCATGCCCTGCTTCAAATTTCCACCATAGCTTATCTATAGCATACAAACTCCTAACTTGAGAAATTATCATTTGGAATAGGAGGATAAGAGAAGACTTAATTTGCTCAGTGACTGATTCAGCATAGAGACAGAAGATGGTGGGTTAGGCTTTAGTGATGTAAAAGGTTCAATTTACGTAACACTATATGCGAATCAAGGGTGGAAATTACTTGGTATTTTATCTCTTGTATTTATTTATTGTTAATTTTCATTTTAATCCCATTATTATTCATATTGCATGTAAATGTTGTCCTAAAAATGTGTTTCTTAATTATAAATTTTGTATCTATTATGTTGGGTTAATTATGAAGTGTAATAGGATTAGAAAGTTACCAACAAATATAATTCAAGGTTCAAAAGTTTTCTCCATCTTGCAGCGCCCATCTATATATGCCACTACATTTTCATCTAAACATTAAATATGAGTTAGCACATTTCAACTTCAACACAGTACAAATATGACAACTTAGCCGATATTAAATTAACCACAACTTACTTATACATAAAATACTAAGAAACATAAATATAAGTAGTTGATTAGACAAGTCTTCCGATTAAGCCACGTAAGCATCTATAATTTGCTGACATGGCTGTCATCAAATTGTTATTTTACATCCGTAACTATGAAATGATGTACAAAAACCAAGGAAGGTTAGCTGCCCCCTAAAAGTGTTTTTTAATTTAAAGAGTCCACTGAGATATGGTGGAGAGGGAGGGAGGCAAGTGTAACAATGAGAACGTATGACTATATATTGATTACCTTAGTCAGTCAGATTTGTTCAAATTTACCAATTACGTAATCTCGTAAAAGAGTGGCATTGATAAAATGATAAAGTAATTCTATCATGATATGGAGGTGAGGGGTTAAAATTGAAAACAGCTTTTATAAGGAGATAAAACTATTTACGTCCAACCATCCTCAAATATTACAATTACGAGAGTTTCGTACGTACATTGAACTGTCCGAGGTGCAGCCTTATCACCTAAATACACATGGAAAATGTGTATGGCTTGCCGCCTTTGGTTTATTTTGAATCTATGTGCGACTTTGGTACACCTGAGCAATGTCTAGAAATTAGGCAGCATATGCAAATACTATGATGCAGCTAAATATATTAAAATAAGCAATCCACCCTTTTTGAAAAGATATACATATGAGAGAAGGAACAGGAAGGATAAGCTAGGATATGAAAAATGACCACTTCAATATCTTCATTAGTTGAAGTGGTCATCGTTGATGTCTTTAATAGATAAATATGTCCATGTAAGCTGAGGAAAATAAATCAGAAGTGGCAATGATGGTTGTTGAAGAACAATTCCTACTAGAAATAGAAAAAAAGGCTGACCATTGAAAACATAGGGAAGCACATTGACTAATTCAAGTACTCACTATCTATAAATAGCAACCTTTCCCCTGCTACATTTTCTCACCTTTCACTAAAGCAAATCTTACAAAAAACAGCAACTATAGTGTGTGTGTGTGTGTGTGATTGCTTAACCATGATTAAGATGAACTTTCACTTCCTTTTAGCCACAACCATCTTGGCTTTTGCTTTGTCACTTGTCTATGCCTCTGATCCTAGTCCTCTGCAGGACTTCTGTGTTGCTCTTGATGATCCCAAGTCTGCTGGTATATGCTCTCTCTCTCTCTCTCCTTAGTTTGTCATTGTTTTTTGGTCATTTGTGTTTGTATTGTTTGTGACAATCTTTATTATTATATAGCTTAATATAACACCTATATAATCCTTTGGGTGCAGTGTTTGTGAATGGGAAGTTCTGCAAGGACCCAAAGCTTGCCAAAGCCAATGATTTCTTCTTCTCAGGGCTCAACATTCCTAGAAACACATCGAATCCAGTTGGTTCCACTGTCACTCCTGTAAATGTTGCTCAAATACCGGGACTCAACACTCTCGGTATATCTTTAGTACGCATTGACTATGCACCTAAAGGCCTCAACCCACCTCACACGCACCCACGCGCTACTGAAATCCTTGTTGTCTTGGAGGGTACTCTCTATGTTGGATTTGTCACCTCCAATCCTGACAACCGTCTCTTCACTAAGACACTATACCCTGGAGATGTTTTCGTGTTCCCGGAGGGGCTAATTCACTTCCAATTCAATGTGGGAAAGAAGAAGGCAGTGGCATTTGCTGGACTGAGCAGCCAAAATCCAGGGGTTATCACCATTGCAAACGCGGTGTTTGGGTCGAACCCAAAGATTTCTGCTGATGTTCTAACCAAGGCTTTCCAGGTTGACAAGAAGGTGGTTAACTATCTTCAAGCACAGTTCTGGTGGGACAACAATTAGAAAACTTATGGGCATTTCTACAAGAAGAAAAAGCAAATTTTCTTTTAGTTAAAAATAAGTAGATGTCATGTCATCTTCTGTTCCTAAATATTTCGATAGCATAAATAAGTGGGCTTGTTATGTACTTCTCATTTGTTACAAAGGTTTTCTCATAGTATGATCTTTTTTATTATTATTACAGTAATAAACACCCCATCTTCTCTTTTCAACACACACACACTCATTAAAAAGTAAATAATGCTATAACAACACTGAGAAGAACAGTTTAACCAAAAAAAAAAAAAAAACACTGAGAAGAACAGAGTGCAGTGATATGTAAATTTGAGATGGATCCCCAAGCATTCAGATAATATTACTTGAACATTGACTTTAAATAGAGAGTGAATGTATGTACTGAAAAAGATATAACATTGCCACTTTTAACTTTTAAGATATGGATTGGATAAAGTATCTATAGTACTGCATTAAATTGAAACCAAAACCAGAAAGTATTTGGCCACACACCATATTGATCTTCCAAGGGATAGAAAATGATTGATCGCCCAGCTAGCCATGCAAATTAACTAAATCCATAAATTCTGGTGAAAATAAATAAATAAAATAGCTTTTCTTAATTCAAACTACGAAAAAGCATCTAATTAATATTGTTCAGAAATTTGCATCTTTCAGAAAAAATTCAGAAAAAAAAAAAAAAAAAAAAGGAAAAAAGTACCAATTCCCTATTCCATGTTATACTGCATCATTACTGCTATACTATGAAATAGTGGTTTTTTCTCGAAAGGAGGGAAAATAAATTCAGACCCTCAATGGCAAGGGACCCCTTCTACCATGTCTTTCTCTTGTACAATGTGCATGATGCTTCCCCTAACTGTCAAAAGAGGCAGAGGTGGCTTGTTGATTATCTGGGGTCATACCGAGTAGATGATTTTCTTGTGGACCAGTTTTTGTCATGTCTTGCTTCAATTGCCACAGAGCTAGCTTATGTAAGCATCCAAACTTCCAACATCAGAAACTCTTGTTTGGAACAGAAGATGAGAGAAGACTTGGCTTAGTTGGGACAAAGTGAGCAATGAAAACCAGATGGTGGGTTAGGGTTTAGTTATGTAGAGGTGTTCAACCTAGCACTACTGGCTAATCAAGATTGGTAGTTACTCAATGGGAAAATATTATGTCTAAAAGGGTGTTAAAGGGAAGATCGTTCCCAAATTCTTCCTTTCTAGAAGGGTTTAGTCCTTGTTGGGCTTGGAAAAGCATTCTTGAAGGAAAGGAAGTGTAGGATAAGGAATGATTGGAAGACAAGGTTAAGTAGCTTTCTTTTGATCATGAAGCCGAAAAGAATGTAAGCTGCACAGAGGGGTGACAAGTTAAACTTGTCATTACAACCCCCAACTTCAAATTTTTAGTGAGTACAGTTTAACATGCTGCAGAAAGCATGAGTGAGGAATCAAAATAATTATTTTCCAAGATTAACCTCATACTATGGAAGAAAGCCAAAGCTTTTATATGGAAATGCCAGAGTAACATTCTTCAAGAAGAATCTAGGATGAAGTCCCTATCTGCAAAATGGAGGAAGAGTATGTTGATCATCTGCTAACCAGATTTTTTTTCTAGACATTGACAGGGATATAGAATTTTACCAAAAAAAAAAATTAACTTTGTTAGAGGAAAGACTGAAAGAGGGTGACAGAAGACAAGAAGCAGTAAAGTCGAATAATACCCAACCAAAGTAATTCAGAAACTAGTCTTTCCGTTAACAAATACAATTTAAAACAAGTATGTTTTCCCCTAGATCTTTCTCTCCAATGAACAAACTTCATTTTATATGCCCAAAACAATTCCTTCAAATTCCATAACCTGGCATTTCCAAAAATGAAGCAGTAATGCACCCTTTTGAAGGTCTTCCATGTCATGCAACAAGGGCTCATTCTGTATTACAAACTATATCCATCAGGCAATAGGAGAAAGGTTCATCAACTGATTCATTTTAGTCATAAGATGGCCCCTATAAGCCCTCGCTTGCTATTACTAAGGAAGATTAATTTGTCTTTGAATATTACATGCTGAAGACCTGATACTCTTGAGTTATCTACACTATTAAAGCCTACTAACTTATTATGCACACTCCTCAATGCCTCTCCATTGAGAGGCTAGCTCTGTAGGAGCCCAACCTTTTTAGTTTTTGGTTCCCTGATATATTTTCTTTAGATTTGGAGAAAGATGTACTCCTGAAACAAAAGAATTTTCAGCCCACAAACGTGGAGGAGGAAGGTACGCCGGCCCTCTACAGTGTTTAAAGTTTCAATGAAGGGATGGAGGCAATTGCAACTTATTAGAAGAGATGAATAAATATTGATTACCTCACCTTCTTTGATTGTTTAATCAGTCAGACTTGTCAAATTTTATCAACCACATTAAGGTGCAGGCCTCATCACCCAAATACAAGGAGATTATTTACGGCTTGGCCTTCTCTGGTTGAGTCTACGCGGGACTTTGGCACACCTGAGCAAAGTCTTCAAATCAGCCAGCACATGCAAACACTGCGATGCATTTAAATCTTACATGAGCAATTCAACATCTACGAAAAAATACACATGTAAGAGAAGAGGAATTAAGGATAAGCTACGACATGAAAAATGACCACTTCAATGTGTTGATTAGTTGAACTGATCGTTGTTCAAGTCTTCAGAGATAACTATGTCAATGTAAAGCTGAGGAAAAATAATTGAGAAGTGGGCTGTGATAGTTGTTGAAGAACAATTCCTCATCAACCAAATACACTGAAATTTTTATGGCTTGAACTTCTTTGGTTTATTTTGTGTCCACCTGACTTGACTTTCACACACCTGAGCAAAGTCTTCAATTCAACCAGCATACGCAAACACTATGATGCAGCTAAATCTTAAATGACCAATTCAACATCCATGAAAAATATATACATACAAGAGAAGAAAAGGATAAATTAGGATATGAAAATGACCACTTCAATGTGTTGTTCAAGTATTCAACTGATAGATATGTTGATGTAAAGCTGAGGAAAAATGAATGAGAAGTGGGTGATAGTTGTTGAAGAACAATTCCTTCTTGAAATAGAAAAAGAGGCTAACCATTGAACACATAGGGAAGCACATTGACTAATTCAAGGACATTCTTTCTATAAATAGCCACCTTAGCTTGCTAGATTTTCTCATCTCTCACCCAAGCATTCTTGCAAAGAATAGTCCACTTTACTCCAAATAGTATCAAGATGGGCATTCACTTCCTTTTAGCCACATCCATCTTGGCTTTTGCATTCTCGCTTGCCTCTGCCTCTGATCCAAGCCCTCTGCAGGACTTCTGTGTCGCCGTTAACGATTCCAAGTCTGCAGGCACATGCTCTCTCTCATGCTTTATCTTCCTTATATTTGTCTTTCAATCTCACATTTGTACCTTTTTTTTTTTTTTTTTTTTTTTTTTTTTTTTTTTTTTTTTTTGCCTCAATATAACATTCCATTGCTTTGGCTGCAGTGTTTGTGAATGGGAAGGTATGCAATGACCCAAAGCTAGCCACAGCCAATGATTTTTTCTACTCAGGGCTCAATATTCCTAGAAATACATCGAATCCAGTTGGTTCAATTGTGACTCCTGTAAATGTTGCTCAAATACCAGGACTCAACACTCTTGGTATATCCTTAGTACGCGTTGACTTTGCGCCTAAAGGCCTCAACCCACCCCACACGCATCCACGCGCTACTGAAATCCTTGTTGTCTTGGAGGGCACTCTCTATGTCGGCTTTGTCACTTCCAATCCTGAAAATCGTCTCTTCACTAAGACCCTATACCCTGGAGATGTTTTTGTGTTCCCTGTGGGGCTAATTCACTTCCAATTCAATGTGGGGAAGACCAAGGCAGTGGCATTTGCTGGACTGAGCAGCCAAAATCCTGGGGTTATCACCATTGCAAATGCGGTGTTTGGATCGAACCCAAAGATTTCTGCTGATGTTCTTACCAAGGCATTCCAGGTTGACAAGAATGTGGTGGACTATCTCCAAGGACAGTTCTGGTGGGACAACAATTAGAAAAGTTATAGCCAATTCTACAACAATAACAAAGGAAACCCCATGAATGATTCTTTTTTCTTTTTGTTAAAAATAAGCAGATGTCATGTAGTGCTCCTAATCATACTTAATTCAATACAATAAATAAGTGGGGTTTTTTTTTTTTTTTGTACTTCTCAATTCTCATTAGTTACAAAGGTTTTCTAATTATTTAATTGTTTGGGCATTCACTTGGAGGCCTCATTTTGCTCTGAATTGGCATTGAAGATATAATATTACCACCTTAAAATATGGATTGGATAAAGTATAGTACTTTATTACATTGAAATAAACCTAGACCAGAAAAGTATTTCATTTGCCAAGGGTAGAGAATGGTTTATGCCCCAGCCATCATAGTTAATTAAATTCAGACTTACATGCAGGAAAAGAAGAAGTAACACCAGATTAGTTCAAACTGAGTATAGACCATCCAATATTGTATAAAATACTTCATTTAGAAAACTGAAGATTTCTAACTGCTTGTTCAAATCATTTAACTAACATCATACCACAGAAGTTACTACCTTTGACTATTTGAATTCAAAGTACGGACAGACTGATAATTAAAAAGGAAAAAAAAAAAAAGAAGCAGAAGTCACTGCAGAGTGTTTTAATAAAACATAAAGTGAGAGTATGAATTTTCATAAGCAAGTTAAGTGACTTTGACAAGGAATATCCTCAGATGAGTTCAGATCAACTGGAGGTTATATTTTTCCTTCCCTTAAACAATAGTCATGGGTAGTTGTTTGCATTCCAAGGTTAAAAAGGGTAATCTAGGAAATGAAAAACTATATAATAATCTAGGAAATGAAATATTCAAATCAATAATCAGTTAGTATGTTCATGACAATCTTAGCATTATCACAAAAGTATCAAAAACAATTCTATTAAATTGGTATTCACACTAGAAAACTAAGTTCTCCTATCAGAAGTTCACTATACTACATTCTTAGAAAGTTTATTCTCCCTAAATTTTAGTCATTTCTTATGTTTTATCATTACTACTATAATCAGCCCTGCCTTGTTCTGGCTTTAGATTTCTCTCTATTTCATGAAATGTCTAAATTGGCCCTAACACTTCAAGTTCTACAAGGAAGAGCTGTGAGGTAGTGTTTCCTTAAGAAGCAAAGTTTTTGCTAAATGAAAAGAAAGTGCAAAAAAACAGTTAAATACCATTTTCCTGTCACCTCCCCATTTCTCTCTCTACTCCCTCTTCTCACCTCTATATGAGTTGTGAAAACATAATACTTCTACATTTAGCCTCAAATCAAATTACTTCGGTCGTTCTTATCGGTTCAGTTCATTGGAGGAGAAGGTTGTAGTGTGGAAAACTTGGAAACTTGTATTACTAAAGCAGTTAAAGTTTCTTTAAGAAGTGAATACATGCTCAGAAGCTCAAATCATCAAAAGCTAAAGGGACAATAAGCTTTATTAGAGGAAAGATTGTAGGAAAATGGCAGAAGACAAGAACCAATACTGGTGAATAGTACCAGAATGACATAATTTTGAAACTAAAATGATGTAATTCAGAAACTAACTTACAATATCCTATAAATACAATTAAAATATCATGTTTTCCCTCTCATCTTCTTTCTCCAATGAAGAACCTTTGATGTATGCATAAAACAATTCCTTCAAAACTCCATAACCCTAGCATATCCATATAGATAGCAGCTATTTCATGATGTCCATGCACCCCTGTGCAGGTCTTTCATGTAATGCATCGGCATCTCCTTTTATTCTGCTTTCCGGATTCAAGGGCTCAATCTGTATTCTATCCATCAGGAAATCATATTCATCAGTAACATTCTACTCATTGTCGAAGAAGGGGTCATCAACCGGTCCATTGAATCATAAGATGGCCTCTGGAAGCCCGCGCTTGCTACTACTATGGAAAAGTTGTCTAGGAATCTCACATTTGTGGAGACCTGATACCGCATCAGGCTGGGACAACGTTAACGAGCCAGTCAATGCTAGCAAGGGCTCTAATAAAAAATTTTGACTCCCACTTTTTCTCTCCTCTTTCCTCATTTCTTCTAATAATGCTTTGCCGGTATCTATGCCTGCTTGAATTGATCAAGAACAAAGCATGACATGAGAAGCGATATAATAAGTCATTTAATCAACGAGATTCATTTGTTATCCAGAATTACCATCAACCACTCACCTGCAAGGTATGCCCCATGGACATAGCCACTAAATCTTTCGCTTGTGTGTTCTCCAGTGAAGAAAATCTGTCCTACTGGCTCCTGATGAAACATAGTATAAAATAATAAATAGGTCCAATGTCAGACATATGAACAAAAACGAGCATATCACGTGAAACCAGTGAAAATAATTGTGAAATATGTATAGGATAAATGGATAATATGCACACCTTAATGTGATGAATAATTTGATTATTGAAATAGATAGGGTAATTGCTGTAGCTGCCGCGCTGGAACCGATTGCTCCACCAGCGTGGCACAAGTATATCAGTGGCATCAGGTATGTCATGCCCAAACATGTTCCTTAGCACCTCCATAGCTTCTTTCAAGGTTTCTTGATCTGACTGAGCTTCAACACGTTTAGATTCTCCATTTGTCAATGTTACAACCAGAACATTGGACCCTGGGTAAGCATTCTCCAAGTGCTGTTGACATAACAGAAGACCAATGCGACCTTGGATCAATTTGGTGGTTAAGAATGATTAGATGATCCAATTAACTATCATATAAAAATGTAATGAATTATCAATCACTCTAGTTATAGTGTAATTAATAAGTCTAATTTTATTTTAATTAAATTAAAAACTGAAAACAAAAGAACCACAATATCCCACTGTCTAACAAGCCCACGTGAGGCGAAGAGTACATTCACTTAACGAAGCCAATGAATTAGTTTAAGATTTAATGAATTTGAAATAGATCAGTCTCTTCACAAGTAGTAGGAAGAGCGGCGGGGGGAAACCAAAAACAAAGACTGAAAATTGACATAAGTATTAACTTTATGGTACAACTACATTGCCAGATGTAAGAGAGTAACAGGACCAATCAAACGCTTCATAGAAAAACATATAATAATCACGAATCCAACAGACACAAATTATCTGCACAAGTATCAACTTCCTTCTTAATAATAATTGTATCTAACAAGATGAGGTCAGTGAACTTAAAAATGATTGACGGACCCTGGAGGGTGATTCTTGTAATTTGCATAGGGGCATAATTGTCATCTCAAAAACAAAGTGGCCGGCTTAGGTGATTCATTATTAAAACCATCAAGAGACTTTAAGATGATCAACCAAAGATAACATTCTATTAAGCATATGGAAATAATTACGCTGCAATACCCTATATGTGAAAATATGAGACAATATCAAGCCAAAAGCGTCATAAATTGTATGGTAGAAATCTCTTGATACATAAGAAAACAGAAATAACATTAATATGAAGTGAAGCAAGTTATGAAAATGTTATACTTATGTAGGAATTGGGAGGTGAAAAAAACTAAGACTTCATACATTTTTGGGTCTTCCGGAAGTTCGATTGATTGATTCTGCTTTCTATATGACTTGAAGGTTATTAGTGACTTATAATTGTTGAAGCATAATTTAAAAAATATTAATGATAACATTACCACAACACCAGCAAACAAAATTGAAACTGTTGTATTCTTATGAAATCCTAAAATGATATATGTGTTTTATGAACTAAAATCTAATGCAAAGAATAGTATGCAAATGCTATACACACGCAACTAATAATAAAATAAGACAGTTCAAGTTCCACTAAACAGCCAAACCAACCCAAATATGAAAAAAATAATAATAATAATAAGATGACGAATAGCATGCCATAATAAATTATATGAACCTGCCAGAATGTGTAGTAGCCTCTCCGCTCGTCGGCATAAATGAAGAACTCTTTCTCAGGCCCACACGGCCAGAACTTATAAGGAAACTTCAGGAAGATCTTTGTGTACACCATCACATCACATTTCTCGATGGCCTCCATTTTCCACCTCTGTTATAATTTTTTAGTCCAATTTGTTAATATTTAGTCCAAAAGAGTATATAATAAGAGCATGAAATGGGAAGTTCACATCTGCAAAAGTATCTTAGGTAGAGGGACCACAAACAAACAACCAAACATGTCAAAGAATCAACATATATTTTTCATTTTAAAACTCAATTGCTGAGTAAGCAACCAAACAGATCAAATAAACAATATATATATTCCATTTTAAAACTCAAATGTTGAGCAAGTCACGGGCAATCTGCCTAAACCCATTATCTTTAGATGCAATACATGTGCACTGGTTCTAAGTTCTAACTACCTACCAAGAATACCTTGGCCCAAAATTAGGTCCCCATAATAATCCAAAAATGCCTGATTTGATTTCTTTTTCAATCAAGATCTTCAAAATTTAGCTATACAACTGTGAAGAATGAAGATGCATTGGGTTATAATCACCCAATTATTCATGTCACATGATCATTGCATACCGTTGCATATGATTTTTACATTCAGGACCAGATACCTTCACATGTATACATTTCATTTACTTATCATTGTACTTCCAATAATAATTTTGCAGCATCATTAATTTGTCACTACTAACTGTTTTACAAGGCACTCAAAAAATTATTTCGCGAATTCAGAACATGTAGTGGAGAGCAGTACCTATCCCTTTGTAGAACCAGTAGACAAGACTGGAATCATGCACACTTACAAGCTACAACTACAAAGTTCCTTGCACTCTCATGCTATATCAATATTACAGAAAAATTGATATATACTTCTGCTCAGTCCAGAATTACATATTGCATGTATCATATGTCAACCCAATTCAGTTACTTCCAGAAAATCAAAATTCAAAATTAGGGCATTTTCTAACATTCATGAGATTTGACATCATTTCATTGAAGTTTAATGATTAAATTAACCGGTTAAAATAATTTTCAAAAAATTTGATTAACTCAGCAGAATCCATAACCCGATTTTTATACCATGTCCATACACTTGTCTTATGGACTGCAAAGTGAAACCCATCAGTGAATCGGTGGGTTAGAATACTGTGGATTGTGTAATCCATTGTTATGCTTATAAAAGACAACTTGACAAGTGACAACTCAAGTCTTTGTCATCAGCCAGTTAACACAAATTAGTGCAATGCATAACCAGACTCTTCAACCTAATGTTATTAAATATTTGGAGTAAGAATCTACACAACAATATCATAGATGTACAACTTGGGTACTCCCACCTGTTGGGACCCATATCCTAGCCCTGAATCCACACGTTCCATTCCGGTTTAAACAATGAGGTATGCCAGTAGGCCACATCATGAAATCAAGAGGCACTTAGTGTAAATACTGGTGGCTTCCACATTAGATATATACCAAGAAAGCATATAGATGGGATAAAGAAAGAGGATACGTACGGGTAAGGGTGGTCTGAAGGAGATGAGGTTGCTTTGGAGGACACCGATGCTAACAGACAAAATCACGTAATTGGCTTCATAAACACAACCATCTTCTGTTGTAACCGCAACACCGTTTTTAGTGTGTTTTAATTCCTGAACAACCTGCCCCAATTCCATAAGAGAATCATAATTGTTACAAATATATATATACACATATGAATACATATGCGGGTGAAGATTAAAAAAACATAAGCCGAGGCAAACAACCATCCACATAAGATTATGAACAATCAAACCAAGAACTTTATGAAATAAAGCCAAATTTTGTTCCACAATTTGAGATATGGGAATGGATGACATTATTGTAGACTCTAAGCAGATTTTTCCAGGTACTCATCTCTCATTTATGGAAGTTACTAGAATTTCAAAATGAATTAGGGTGCAAGTGTTGAACACCAATTTCATTTCAAAGGGCTTAAATTTCTGATTTCTTGGAACAATTGGGGAAAGGTTTTACCTTTAAAGTAATATTACCATTTACAAGTGTTACGACAAATGCAGCGAATCCAAGAAATACAACAGAAAAGTAAGCACACCATAAACAAAAAACACAAAGATTCGGCAAAGCCTATGTCCACATTGAAGATCCAGCAAAAGTTTTCACTATGCGTAAAATAGGAGATTACAAGTTTCAGTTCCAAACCCTAGCTCTCGCTCTCACTCTCTTTTCTGCGATTATCAGTGTCTCAATAATCCCACTCCAAAATCAAATTTTGGGTCACAACATCACAACAAGATAATGCATAACTATGCTAATGATCAGTCGAACTGTACATAACATTATTTACTTATAAAGATATTAAAAATTAAAATTAAAAAAATAAAAAGAAAAGGAAAAGAAAAGCAATGTTGCTTTAGCAATAACCACATATAACTAAGAAAATGATGAGGTGCTTTTACTTTTTTCTAATATTGAGTTGATATCTGATATGACTACATAATTAAAGCATCATTTAACATAGACACAGAAAGTATCGTTGTCAATATCCACACTATGCATGATAGTGGAAGTTGGGACCTTTATACTGGTGCAGTGAATAGTGAAGGGACTTAGTGCTGAAAGATCTTAGAAGTTCATGTAAGTGGTAATCAAAGAGGTGATTTTTCAAATCATAACTTTATATAGGTGTCATCATCAACTCATATTGATATCATCATTCTTATTATCAAAGAGACAAAGACCCACCAACAAAGCACTTTCCAATTTGCAGTTGCAAATATAGATATCATCTTTCTTATCAGAGAACTGTTATTGAGTTGAATCCTTATCATTTTACTGTTAAGGAGATAGTTTCAAGAAATATACTGAAAATAATATAATAGTAAAAATCATTACTTGGTCTAACTTGCAAGGGTCACTTAGAGAGATAGACAAAGTTTTTGACATTATTTCGTATCAAGGAACGGCAATTCTGACCTGCTAATCATTCTCATGCTGGAAAACACTCAAATACACCTTTTAACTTCATTCCATTACAGGATAAACATTTTCTTTTTGTGTCTTGTTACATTAACTTCAGGCTTCTCAAGTTTCCCCATTCAAACCTCAGGAAAAATTTGAAATTTGTTTGAGGAAACCCCATTTTGAAAGAAGTGGGTAAATCCAAATATCACAAGTGCACCAGTTCCACCTTGTTGCATTGAGGGCTGGAAACGCTTCCGGGTTTGGTTCAGTAATTTTTCTTCCTTAACCTTTCCTCTTCATTTTATCATAGTTTTTCAACATAGTCAATTAATGCCACTATAGGTTGCTTCTCATAAATATTTTAACATGTCAATTTCACATTTCTCCACAGCCACACATTTCCTCTTCAATTTATCATAGTTTTCTCAACATAGTCAATTAATTCTAATATAGGACGCTACTCATTAATATTTTAACATGTCTATGTCACATTTTTCCACAACAAATTAATAATAAAAATTATAGTGAAGACCAAAACCTCATAACTATTAGAACGAAAGTCCATTTACCAACCTAGACACCAATATTGAAATACTCTTTTCCATAGAGGATCAATAAAAAAAAAAAAAAAAAAAAATTAGAATCCAGGAGAAGGTTGACCACAACCAGGAATCTATATCTAAACATCTATTGATAAAACAATAATATAAGATATATAAACTTTAAATACACAAAAAGTGAACATCTTTTTGATCCTTATCTCAATCTCAAAAGCAAAGAAAAAGAAGATTGCATGCATACAAGCACAGTATGGGACATTTCGCAATCGTTCCTTTTTCTCTTTTTAACCATATGCATTACCCTTTGTTTTCATTTGATGAATGGCTTATAAAGAAACAAAATAGGCAAATCAAATTGTACGATAATAGATAAATCACATACAAATACAAATGAGAAAAGATTTTTTCACCTTGTTGAGCTGCAAACGACTATCTGCAATTTCACCCTCCGAATTAAAAAGAAATGTTTCGGCAATTTTATACAGCAAGTACTCATACCCTCTTTCATCAGCAATTAAAAACTCCTGCTCTCCAAGGTCTGTAAAAGTTGATATTGGTACAGCCTCTGTACAGAAAACCCAATTCTCAGTTTACATTCCACGTAACCATAAAACACGTTTTGCTGAGAAAATGTGGAAAATACGAAGAAATTAAAACTCATATGCAAAATACAAAACATAACATTCACATTTTTATTTTGTTTTGCTTTCCTTCAGCTTTCTATCAACCAAACAGATGATTACATAAAAAGTACGCTAAAGGGAGTTCAACTGACCTGCCATTTCAAAGTCATGGAGGATGAAGTCAATAGCAAGCTCTATAGGTGTTTTGGGAGTACTGTAACAAGAAGAAAGTTGTATGAGAGAGCAAAGGGGATAAGTAATACCTTGTTTGGCAACTTTTTGTTCGTGTTTTTATTGCCAAATCGATTAAAAGTTCCAAAAGCACTTTGGTATTGGCCATCTGATTAATAAATAAAATGGAGATTGCTATTGCATCGTAACGTAACAACTAAATAAAAAAGCTATTGCATAAGCAATCTAATATTACATAAGCATTTAAAATTATTCCGAAGTGAATTTGTTAGTTGTTGTTTGAGTTGTTGCATAAGTGACTATGGCATGGGATCTTGGTTGTATTGCATAATAGATGTAGGGATTTTTTAATTATTATTTTACAACCTGCCAATTTTATTTACTGTTTTTTTTGAAAAAAAATGTTGAAACATTTTGAAATAAATCACGACAACAAAAACACTGTTTTTGATTTTTGAGCAAAAGACAAACGAGACTTGAGAGGGTGAGAGAGATTTACGAGAGCGGTTCTGAAAGTTTGGCCAAATCAGCCTCGTGGTTAGCCACTTGGTTCCTCAGAATGGCCGAGTCCACAGCCTTCTTGTAGGAGTCGGCGGCGATTCCACTCGGAAAAATCTTCCCGCTGAAAGAGGACGAGTTATATAGATTATCAGTGTCACCCACGGTGTAATCTAGAAAAAAGGTAATACAAATCCCAAGGTTCGAACCGGGTGATGCTAAAATACGCCGGCGCAAAACACTTAACCACCGTTCTGAAGCGCCAAGGGCGTAAGTTAGCCAAAACGGATATAAAAATTCTAAACTTCACAGTTCGTAGTTAGGCATACGCATATACACATATTTATATATATAGATGCTAACCTCCGATCGTAAATGTTGTAGCGGGCATTGCTATAGTCGGAAAAACACGTACGGAGGCCCGAGTCAAGAGCGAGTTGCCAGACCGGGTTGGACTCTTTGCCGCCGACTCCGACGATCCAACCAGCTCCGAGTTCGACGGGCACGCCTCCGAATTGTTCTTTCCGAATCCTTCCACCGATTCGATCCGACGCCTCCAGGATCAGTATATCATCGACGCCGTTCTCCACCAACACCTTCGCCGCCGATATACCTTATATATATACACATATATAACAAAAAGTGTGTGAGATTTAGAGTTTGAAATTAAAGAAACAATTGTAGAGTAGATGAAACTTGCGAGGCACCTGAAACACCAGCTCCGACGATGATCACGGAAGAGCAAGTTGGAAATTCCATTATGTTGTATAAAGTTTTAGATAGAGAGAGAGTGTGTGTTGTGTGTTTTTGTGGTGTGATGTTTCGTTGCAAAAGCGGGAGTCCGGTTTATATAGTAGTTTCTTTCCAGCTTTGCTCTCTCTGAACACTACTAGTTTCTCTCTCTAATTTGACGTGCTGAAAGTGGGTTTATAACATGGAATGGCACTTGAAGTAAATTTCTCCCTATTCAGTTTCAAAAGTGACTCAACCATGTAATATTTCATTCGAATTTGGATGATGATCTGGAGTAACAAGGTTTGACGAATCTAACTTGTGTGTGGAGCTCACATAATTATGATGTCAATTTTTTAAAATTTTTTATTATGTAAAAAAAAAAATTATATTGGACCATTGAACTTATTAATCTCTTCAAATTTTATTTGTGACCACATTCGCGAAATTTTTTTTCATGGAGAATTTGTTAGTGTTCTATGAGACCCGACATCTCTGATGACTTAGTTATTAGAGTGCCTACCTCTTTCAAAAAAAATAAAAGACCCCAACACAGTCAACACTACCACCACGAAAAAAATTCCCTATCAATGGACAAGTGATTATATAAAACACAGTAAAGTAAACATTATTGACACTCAAAATATACAATAATTTTTCATACCAAAGTAGAGGAGTTACCAATAACCGATAACACTTTGGTAAGTACCAAAATGACAAGCTAATTATGGTTTATTCAATGACTTTATTAATACAATTGTTTTAAAGAATAATGTTATTCCTTTCGTCTCATATTTTTCGTCTCATAAAAAGTGTCATGTTCTCCAAACATGATATTTTTTATAAGACAAAATCAAATCGATAATAATACATTGAGTGCAGGTAAAAGAAGGTGGAATGTTGGATCCTTTTAGAGAAGTTATAGGGTTTTTTTTTTGTTTTTTCGAATGAGAATCTGTCATTTTATATTAATATATGACACCTAGACCGTCCATGACGTGAAGTGAGACGTAAACATACTTCTAGGTGATCAAATGACCACAACCAAGTCACCGAATGCATTAAAGTGGGAGTTACGTAGATGTTACTTTAATACATCCAATGGACTATGAATATACTCGATTGGCCTAATGTCTGCCGTCATTGCCGTTTTGGCTCATTTGAATGACATCAATTCACAAATGTTTTTAGTAGCATGAGATCCATGAGTAACTGGAATAAATAATCGGAGTATATTTCAACAATGTCCACTTGCAATTAAGTAATTTATAGTAGTATTAGTTAATCAGAGTGAGTAGCACAAATCCTTGATGTGTTAGAGCTCAAATTATATATTGATATCATTACCAGAAATTTATGAATTTAAATAATCTGTTATGGCAAACGCAACGAATCCAAATTGAATTAAGAATCACTACAGAAAATTAAACACGCCACACAAATTACATAAAGATTTATATGTAATTCAGCAATAGCCTACACCCATGATTCGGATTCGGCAAAAAACTAATATCGGACTACAAAAAAAATGCCCTTATATATCGGACTACAAAAAACTAATTAAGGTCCACGGCCCTTGAATAAAAAATGGGTCAAAAAATTTTCTTAGGACCAAGCCCCGAGACCCCCAAAGCTTTGGTGGAATTGGGCCCACACAAAGCTCATCCAACGGATTGTCGGGTCATAAACAGGTCGTAACGCGACCCGACACCAATTTCGGGTCACAATATCACATTTTCATATAAAATCATATATATTTTTTTAACATTAATTTGGGAGAATTGAGTTGCAATGACCTGAATAAAGAATATTTTTTAAAAAAATACTTTTACGTGTTAGCGATTGTTTATTATGTCAAGGGATAAATCTGTGTGTTGTAATTTTTTTTCAAACAGTTATTTTTATATACAAAGAAAAAAGTTTAAATTTGTCAAATACAGGAACTTGCATCTAAGCATAAAAAAGCTCGAAAAAAATGGTCACACCAATCATTTAGATGGTAAATTCTATCAATAATGATGATAGAATTTACCAACGATTCCGGTGTTTCCAGCGTCACTCTATTAGATAGGCCGCCTTACTTAAAAGGCAAGAACTAAATCCAAAAGGCAAGTGTATTAAAATGCCTCTAGTGGTGATGAGATTGCAAGTACTTAGCCCTACCACAAGCTAGAAAAAGAGAGTTGATGTGGCCTTCACTTACTTGCCTTTTCAAACACAAAGGTAGCTTTCATTTGTGCACCATCTCTTCTATTATTGGCATGTTTGGAGGTGTTAAAATAGAAAGATTTAGGTCTCCCCAATCATGATGTAATGACCTACAAGCTTTAATATATAGAATTGGTGACCTAAAAAACAGAATATATAAAATTGATTAGAAACGTGGCAAGATTTATTGAATACATGTTTATGTATTGGACAAAACAGGCAAATTTTTAGTTTTTTAGTATAGAAAATAGATTTATAAATGATGAGATTCTAACCCTGATTACAAGTTAATCAAGCATGGTTGCAAATATTTTAGATTAAGTAAGAGAATAAGTAGGCATTGATATTCAACGAAAATAAAATTAATTTTATGAAATAATGTGCTTAATATAGCCTAGACTAATGATGTGGTGGTGTCCTCTCGTAATAACACATAAGTGGGAAGAGTTTAGTTTTTGAGAAGACAGTGGCTTAATCTTTCATTATATTCTGGGAACTTTCATGGCACTCTATGCAAAAAGGATTTAAAAATAGTCCGATCAAGTATTATGTGGGCTCCACGAATTTTTTTTGTTGTGCAACAATGGAATGTAATGAAAATGAGAGCAATCACTTCTTCAATCAATTTTCAAACTAAAACTTAGTTTAGGTGGACTATGAGATTATCCAAAAGTTTTCCTTCACCATCCAAAGAACTAAGAATTGACCCCTACCCTCTCCAGTCACTTTGTCCTAAATCATTTGGGCTTGGAAAGGGAATTGTGAAATGGATATTTACCACATAAAATTATGCTTTTCAATGGTTGTGTTTGAATCCACACGAGAATTGCTTCAACAAGTTCAACTTTCAGTATTGAACAGCTGATTTCTCCTTTAAATTTTTTCAACAAGTTCAACTCTATGCATTGAACATCTGACTTCTCCTTTAGACTGATTTTTTTTTTTTTTTTTTTTTTTTAAGGTTAATTAAACACACATTCATGCATCTGCTAAGACTTGAACAACTAATCGAAAAGGACTTGTACTAGCTGAGATATTTCTCATTTGGTAAATTATAAGTTTCTTTCCTAAGGCCATTCGGTATTCACGTTAATTTAGTCATGACGGTTTAAGCTAGCAAATGACTATGGGTTGGGACTAATCAAATGGTCGAGCCGTGGTGTGGGACTAGTCAAATGGTGGGCCCCACACACAAAATGTTTGCATGTCTGTTATTTGTGTCTAGCCTCCTGTATGGCCCCGACGGGCCGTACGCCAATTTTCTCTCTTTCTCTCTCTTCTCTATCCTTTTTTAAAATGATGTTTCCCGCGTCTAAATGATAATATTTCCTATCACCAAACCGATCCAAAAGAAGGGTTAATGTGACCCTAAATAAAGGAACACATAGCGGGTCAAACAATATGCACCATACCCAAACAATTTTACATCTCTCACACACATTTTCAAGAGGTGGCTTGTGTAATGTCAATTCTTAAGTAATTAGTTCGCTTTTGCAATCAACATAATTTCATTTGAATTACCCAAACAAAGTTTTGTACTTTGATTTGAATGTTCCCATTCCACTTTTATTGATTGTAACATTATAAAAATCACTTTTAGGTCAAAACTCAAGCAAATTTTTTGTCTTAACAAGATAGATACCAACCAAGCCAAGTCTTGTCATAACAAGATAGATACCAACTAAGCCCAAGCCCAATCTTGTCATAACAAGAAAGATACCAACTGAGCTCCAGCCCAATCTCGTCATTACAAGACTGTTTCCAAATATACCCTAACCAAGGTGAACGTATTTTATTTTTTATTAACCCTGGAGTGTCCAAGAGGAAGCCCCGCTAATCTTCAAAGATCCAAGAAGAGTACCTTCCCACAGTCCCACTCCTGGTTGGGTAAGTAGCAGAGTGTGGCTACGGAGGCAAGGTGAATGTTGTTGAGCAGCACAGTTTCATATACACGATCAATCAATACAATATGATTTTTTCTGCAAATTTTCTCTTTACTTTGTTTGTTTTTGTTTTTTTTATTTATTAGATGTTCATTGGCTGAAGATGTGATATGTCCGGTTCACACTATACATACTCGTCATTAGAGATGAAAATTTTGTTCAGATCATTGTAAATAATTTTTCAATAATTGCCTAGTATAAGCAGAATATGATAATTATATTAGATTCTAGAGTGCTATAAGAGCCTGGACACAACCCTCATCCATCCAAAAAAAAGAAATCCATTAGTGGCTGATGATTTTTTTTTTTATAAACAAAGTAAACAGCCAGTATTAAATGACTGAAAAACTACATTGTCAACACTCAAAATTTTCAATAGTTCTTCCTAATGATAAAACGAGTAATCACCAAAAGCACGTGACACATTAATAAGTACCAACATGACAAGCTAATTATGATTTAAGCAAAAGCGAATTTAGGGGTGAGTTTTGATGGGCTCAAACCCATCAAATAAAAAAAAAAAATTATTACTATAATCAATTTTAACTCAGCCAAAAAAAAAAATTTATTACCCCCTCTGTTCCATATTAGTTGTTCACGTCAAAAATTTTAACTCACTATCACCTTTTATCTTTAAGTTATTTGAGGTCATTTTTAGTCATATTCTTTTCGTATATACTTATATAATACCTTTGTACCATATCATATGTCCATTTGGGAAATTTTGATTCACAAAAATTGTGAGTCAAAATTTTTAAGGTAGACATCTAATATGGGACAGAAATAATACTAATATTAATCCACCCAAATATTAACCCACCTCATTAATAATTAGTGAATCCACTCTGGATTTAAGATATAACAATGTATCATCACTTTGTTAATATAATTGTTCAACTAACAATGTTAGACAAATGACACGATTCTTGATCGTTCTTTTGTGAGAATAGGTATAAATTGATTTGGCTTTTTATCTTCTTGTTCAAAATATATGTTTTTTTTTTTTAAATGATTCTTAAAGCTATCAAATCATCAAATATTGCATTAAAGTGAAACTGGTCTTTGTTTGTTTGAATGACATCAACTCACAAAGGTTTTTAGTGAAGATTAGCTTGAGATCCATGAGTAATTGCAATAGACTATCCGACTACCAAACATGGATGAATTACGCAAGCTTCCTTGAACCTTTTATTCTTTAATAGCACAACTCCTTAATGTGTGAGAGCTCAAATTATACAGTATATTGATATCATCACGAGAAATTTATTGATTAGATAAACTTTGCAAAGTTGGTTTTTTCATATAAAGACGGACACAAAGTAATACTTTACAACCTATATGCTTATATGTACAAAAATTTCATTCCTAAAGGTATTTTTGAAAAAAATAAATTTTAGAGGCACAAAGTTATATTTTACAAGTATTATTCCTATATATATAATAATTTTAATGGGCCAGCCCTGCATATAAAATCATTTTACAAAACATTGATGGGAGAATTGAATTATAATGACATGAATAAAGAATATTTTTTGAAAAATTTTTGTTTACATGTTAGCGATTGGATCATTTACTTACAAAAATAAAAAGTAAGAATAAAAATAAAATGCCTGATTCTTTGTGGTCGATTGGATAGGAAAAATGATGCAGTTGTTGATTTTAAAAAAATTTAAGATGATGAATTAAACTTCATATGTTAATTTTTCTGTAAAATTTAGTGTCTAAATTATAAGTCTTATTATTTTTTAAATGGCTATTTAGTTTTGGAGCTTCAATTCTTTATGTAGATAAATTACCAACCAAATTTCAAATTACATAATGAGTGAGTAAATAAGAAGAACAAGATTGCTAACCTCAGACCACATACAGTGAAGAACAATTTATGAGTGTTAGTCAATGCTTCATTAAATTGTAAGTTCCCACTTTTTTCTTTTTTGTTTTTCGTTAAGTTGTTCGTCAATGCTTCATTAAATTGTAAGTTCCCACTTTATTAAGCCGTTTTCATTCATATTATCAAGTTCAGTTAGAGAATTGAGGGAATTAACATAAGTTTTTTAAAATAGCTTGGAATTGCTAAATGTTAGGGAAGGAAGCCAAAAACAAGATAAATCCAAAACATTAAGAAAATTCCTGGACTCTTGCATGGAAATGAGTTGTTAAGATATTACCATGTTACTTCTTTATTTTCTGACTATGTTACTTTTTTATTTTCCTCGCAGTATCATGACGCATACAAATTGAAGGGCTATTGATTAATTTCAATTTTAATGCAAAAAAAATAAATAAATAAATAAAATAAAATTTCAAAATAAAGTTTTTGTTTATATTTAAAAATGGAAGTTGAGTTACAAATGCCTCCAATATAGAGATTGGCATTTATTATGTCTAGTTATACTAACACATCTACTTTTATTTACCTAATGGGAAGATAGGGACAAGAACTTGATTTTAGTACCAAAAAAACTGAATTTGTCTTAGACTTGAAGTTGCACATGTTGTGATGGTTTGGATGAAAACACCTCCATATTTAATGTTTTGTTTTCTAAAATCATCTCATTGGTACTTACTTAACTTAATCGTGAGAATTTGACTCTTACCTATATATAAAATTTGACGGCTAAAGGCATTAAAGTTAATGGTTAAGATTTAGTTAATACAATTCTTCAAGTAACTCTCTCGTGTAATATTTTCCAATCTTCCTCAATGTTCTATAATCCTCCGTCACTCTACAACACCATGTACTAGAATGCATTGCAATTAATAATTAAGATTTATAATGGATAGCTAAAATGCATTGCAATTAATAAGTAAGATTTAGTTACTAGAATTCTCCACATATATATGTTCTCCAATAGACCATAAAACTCTTCAGTGTTATGATATCCTTCAACTCTCTACAACACTACATAATTTCTTGTTTTTTTAAATTTTTTAAATTATTGATTTAAATGAAAATATATAAGGTATAAAAGAAAAGAAAAAAAAAATAGTATACATGTGGTCGAATTTTTGTTTTTAAAAAATATATATTATACATCTCCGTGTTCATAAATTATGCATACGTTTACCATCCCCTATGTTTTCACACTATTTTACTATGCTCTCGTATAATATAAATTATGAAAACTATGCTCTCATATATATAAATAATGAAAGAATTTTCAGGCTTGGTATCATATCCATAAAACACCTAGTCGTACCAAATTAATTTATGCCCAAAATCAATCTTTGCTCTTTCTTTGAACAATTACAAGCCTAATTCAAATTGTTATATCATGTGGAGTGCCAAAATATTAGAACTTGGTTTTGTATATTGTTAACATAACCAAGAACACATTTTTAACTTGTTAATTTACCAGACCACCATAATTAATCACACCTCCATCTTGGTCACTTGCCTTTTAAGATTTTCTTTTTTTAGAATTATTTTTTCTGATGAGTTCAATTTTCATATTAACCACAAGGGAAATTATACGCCATTGCTCTGGTTCTGTAAGATGATGGTGTATGATGTCCATCAGACTTCACCTCATAGATTTAGGTGATTTTCAAAAATTCATCCTAGCAGACACCGTGAACAATTTCACAATTCACTTGTGCTGAAAAGTGAGCCACCGTGCCCTATAAATGTCACACCTCTTTCAATATGTTTTCTATTAGTAGCCAGTTCCGAAGACTACACTAGCAAAAATATCTTTCTACACTAGCAAAAAGATCTTTCATTCCGAAAATAGTGCACCCAATGGGAGAGCCGGAACAACTCCTCCATTGGATGCATTCAACATGGCTCCACTTCAATGCATCCAATGGAGGAGTAGAGTAACCTCGGCTCATCCATTCAGTGCACTGTTTTTAGATGCATATATAGAACCATCTTCCTGACAAAGCAAAAAGTTCAAGCTATATAAATAGTTGTTGAAACAACCAAATTCTATTGTCTTGCATGATCTACTAAATAGAAATTCTTAAGAAATGTAAACGTCGGAAAATAAGCGATGAAATAAAAAACTGGATTTAAGTTGCCATAAAACCCTACTGTCATTAAACCAAAAAAAAAAAACCCTACTGTCACCATCACTTAGAAACCCAGTATATCAAGAGGCGGTGAAATCACAGGAAACCAGACACAGAACTCAAAACAAACAAGCTGCCTCGCAATTTAAAGTGACCTATCATCATCGTTTACAGTTCTGACATGGATTGAACCCCGAAACATTCAATAAATACAGCAGCAGGTTAGTTAATACATATTGCAACATTACTGGCCGTCCAAATGAGGCTTCCGAGCCAAGAAGAAGTACATTGGCGTGAAGATCTCTTTCCTGAAACACCCGGTAATACAATTCTGTCAGTGAAAAATCTGAAAAAAGCTCCACACTGACCACAAAGAAAACATGGTTCAATTTGTACAAGGAAGAAGCTTCAGGGTCCTCGCGTTTCAATCAACTTTAAATGTTAAATTGGAAGGCAGCTCAGGATAGGAAAATTAATTAGTCACTTAACATTGTTGTGATGGGTGATATTGAACAATCCAATGCCTCTTTTCTTTATTACTCTTGGCTTCGTGCACGAAATGAGGAGAAGGCATAGAAAATTACAAATGCCTGGGGGAAGCTGTGCATATAGAAACATTTTCCATCCCTCCCTCAAGCTCTCCAAGAGCCAAGAAGAGCAACCATTACAAAAGATTTATTTGTCTCTAAATACCAGAAAAAGTTTACAAATAGATTCACATAAAATCACCAACTCATGTTGATTACTGGCCCCAAGAAAAATTAGAAGTGAGGTTTATCCAGCCTAATGGTTAATTTTGTACACTCAATGTGTCATGTGCCCAATTAAATTTCCTTGGGGATAAGCACCCTTGTTTCAAATATAATGCTCAGCAAGAGATACTCAGCTCAGCAAGAGATACTCAAAACAGAAATCAGTATTAGTCTATTTGGTGGATATAAGTGTGAGAGAACGGACAACAATGTGAGAGAAGATAATTCTCACCTTCCACCATCAACTAGCCCTTCTGCAGCTTTCTCTAAGAACAATTGAACTCTTTGACTTCCCTTAGGGGCAAGTCCCACATATTCTAGGGCCATGACCTGCAGAGAAAAGAATCAAAACAATAATGAACTGATTCTTGCACCTTGGGGAAGAGAACACACAAGAAAATCCATATAATTGATGCCAGGACACCGCCAAACAAAATGTATATAATTTTGCTAAAAACAATATAACAGGTATACAAGGCACGAAATGCACAGATCTTACCATGTTTTTGGTAATAAAACGTCCAATAGCTGTTAGGCGGAAACTACTGAGTGAAAAGTGACTTGTATCCAAAGGTAAGTACCAAGGCATGGGTGAGCCCACTGCAAGATCCTTATCCCATATAACCTAGAGAGACAAAAGCAAATTATCAATAATTTTGGTTGTATGGCGATCTCCTTTAAAACTCATTCAGACATTCAGTAGAAATAATAGTAGCTCACTACTCACTTCAAAACCAGCTTGTTTCAGTGCTTCAAGACATTGTCCTGTTGACCTAATGTCGGGGAGGCCATCACCAATCTCAATTTCAGCCTGTGACCATGAAATTTTTATATACATACCAAGCCTTTAAAAGACAAATTCATCGTAAATACCAATTAACAGGAATTTTGGGAATCTAGAAAAACCTTAATTTTTTGGTGATCTTGGTTATTGGGGTCAAAAGAATCAGTCATGCACCACTCATATGCAGCAAAACATTGACCAGGCTTTAATACCCTATATATCTGCTTGTAGCATCCAACCTTTAAAACAGAAATGCAAGGTAAATAAGCAAAAATCAAATGAACCAAAAACTAAAATAAATTGATATTATTCAGCAAAAAAAAAAAAAAAAAAAATCTAAAATTTGATATGTCATCCTAACCCAAGGATATTCATGACAATTTCAAACTTGAACATTTTCAGTTTGCATACCGCATCTGGAGCATGACAAGTAGCCTCAATTGCATATACTGCATCAAAACTGTTCTCTGGAAATGGCATATTCATGAAATCAGCCTGCATCATTACAAAACAACTATTAAGGCATTCACACAGGAAAAAAAGTGCAGAACAAACATGAACTTAATATATAAAACTACTAACCTTCACAAAATCACAAGTCTTGTCTACTCCGGCAACACAATTAAGCGCCTGCAGATTAACAGGAGCATGCAAGCATTAATGCTTCTGAAAAGATTCGGCATTTCAGAAGTTATGTGAAACAGAATAAAAGTTTGCAAATTTAGACCATGGCAAACTGGTATCATCCTTCATTAATTATGAATTCGAGTTCAAAATGAACTGAATTCTCTGTACTCAAAATGATCAACCTTGGAAAACCATAAACTGTCTACACTGGGAATGAGTTATTCAAGTTCCCAATGTTGGTCATGTGTTCTTATGAAACAGAAACGAGATCAGAAATGGAATATCAGGATCTCTGGCTACAAATTCGTCATAGATAAACTCAAAAACATTATGTAACAAAGAGCTGTTGCAGATACATTCCATCTTTTGGCAGACGTAAAAAAGTACCTTCCCTCTTGTAATCTGATATTCATTGTTGTTAAGTCCTGTAACTGATGTCGAGCTGCCAGATATCACAATACAAATCAGAATCGTAGGACAACTCTTCTAATGGAAAAATAATGAACCTCTGAAACTTGTCAAAACTTTTCAAAATACACTTGAGCTGAAAAACATTTTTATACGCACTTCACCAAAAAAAAGATATATGTACTTGTACCAATAATATCATCACATTAATAAAACATTAGTCATAGTCACAAAAAGAAAATCAGTCCATAGCGTACACAATTGACTATTAAATTTCTCCAGTTCTTCCATATTGCAGTCTTTATTTGCACAATATTATCAAATAGATAAAATAAAGTAGACCCCTGACAACCATAAATAACACATGATTGTTCTTATTCATATTTTTTGAGGAAAAGAAAAATATAAAAAGAAACAGACTAATGCCCTCCATCATCATTGTTATTGGTAGAACTTAATAAGAATTAGGTATTCTATCATAAACAACCAAATATAACCCATCAAACATGGCGTGAATGAGATACAAATTGGAGTACTATGCTAATAAATTTGAAATCACAACTTCCAGTACTAACAAAATTCAGCAACCATCTCAAGCGCAAAATAAGATAAACTCGTGAATCGCTATCTTACCTGAATCGAGCAATTTCCCTTAATGGTCCACCAATTCCGCATCCTACATCCAACACCTACAGTGATGGTAGAAAGCTCAAATTCCTAATCCAAAACAAGTAGCTAGTGGTTTTTTAATATGGTAATGTACAATCTATCAAAGGAGAGAGACCTTCTGTCCGGGTTTCAGGCCCAATTGTAAAGCAAGGAAGTGCTCATGTCGCTTAATGCTCTCTTGAAGAGACTCCCCTTTCCATCTGCAGGCACAAATAGGAGATCATGTTAGTTTCATCAGCAGCAATTGAAAAGCATATAAAGCTGTGTGTAAAAGACAAAAACAGCTCACATGTGAAAACTAAAGTGAAGAAAAGAAAATAAACGATGAGCCTGTAAAGAGTGTCATGTTAACCTGGGTGCAAAATGGAAGGACTCTCCCCAGCCATATTCATAAAAGCTGGTAACAAGATCATAGTATTTGTTAACCTGAAAAGACATAAAACAATTCTTATACAATAGAAGATCATGTTTAGTTAAGTAAAGTGATTTCGCACCCAGATAGTAAATTACAAGACTACAGACTATTCAGACAAAGCATCATGCAAATGGACTTAACAGTTCTCATGGGCTTAAGAGTTCTCATGTTTCGGTGAAAGAATTATTACTAAAATGAGTCCACCTCATGGTTGTATGGCTGTTCAATTTTCTGAAAATAGTTCTCGAGAACTCAGAAAACCGTTCAAGACTTTTCTATAGAAACATGCCTTTTTTAACTTATTTTCGGAAAACAGTACAAAACTTTGATTCTTGGAATGTCATTATCAAATCAAAAGTTTGATTCTTGGAACTTCTTTGTCCTGGAACCATAATAAAATAATATTTGTCCAAAACTTTCCCTCTCTAAGAAATTGCAGGCTATGAAAATGCCTCTGATTACAGACATGATACTTCTCGAGATGAATCTGAAAAAAATAATAATAATAAAATAGAATATTTAAAAAAAAAATACCATGTCCGTGTAATTAGCCTTTCTCTGTTCCTCTTCACCACCATAACAGACATGATACTTTTCGTACCTGTATCATCAAAGTGAAACTTATACCAAAAGATTAAAAGTACACAAAAGACCTCAAGCACATCACGCAGACCCAAACCAACAAACAAAACCCAGAAAGATCAGAACATTACAGTTCGCTGCAAACACTCAGAATTTCATTGTTTTTATCAAGGATGCCTCAAGTATTAGGGAATACTTTGTTACTTCAATAAATGCAGCACTACAAGATTGGTAATTTAGACCATAATAGATTATTTATTTTTACAAATGAAGGAAAGAAATTCCCAATTCCTCAAAATCCACTTCCCGGTAATAGGCGGGCAGCAAACATCTTGCCTTACTCAGAATAGATTCCATCCAACAAAATTGATCACAACAGGTCTAGATTTTTTATTATTATTTAATCATTCAAGAACAGCTCCCTGGGTAATATACTGGTCCTGAAGGCTCCATAAATCGGCTGTGCAGATACGTCAGAGTTCAGTCAAATAGCACACCAGCTTAAGAATCTTGTTAAGTTCCCAAAAAGATTTGAGGCAAATAAAAATTAAAAAGTGAAAAGGAAAGCATTCTCGCAACCACCATTCAACTCCTAAAAGTTCACAATAACAAAATTCCCAATTTTGTTTTCCTATTCTTTCCAGGTACCAAAACAGAATTAACCAGAGACAGAAGTGGAGGCACTGAAAGACATAAATAGCATCACAAGTTTGACATTTGATTCCCAGAACAAAATTCATTACACCTTATGAAAACAGTAACATTAATTGTGAAATAAATATAATGCCAGGAAATATAACAATAACAAATGAAGAAGACAGATCAACCACAATAAATCTTTTTCTTTTCAATGGATAAGTAGATCTCCGCAATAAATTAATGTAATATAGTAATTGCCACCAAATTCACATATTATTAAGTACCAAAAATCCATCACTTTTCTTGTTGAACTGAGCCAATATCAAAATCAGCATACGTAGACTTCACTCTAGGATGAGAAAGAGATTCAAACTTTATCCTAGAGAGATGTGTAAGCACGATTATTCCAAACGAGAGAAAAAGACACATTCAACACTTATAGAAATAAACAATATTAATTTAATCATCACTTCACAGAGCGTTAAACACAGTTCTAGAGAGAGAAAATGAGAGAGATTCAAACGGCATTCTAGAGAAAGAAACGCACTTGTCGACGGCGGAGAGGACATCATCTTTCTCGATCTTTCCGCCTAGACCAGATGCGAGATCAAACGCTCCAGCTTTCGACATCTCGCGATTCTAATTCTCGCCAACCACTTTGAGATCTAAACACAGAAGCATTGAAATTCAAGACAGAGTCCTCTTGAAGTCAAATTCAATATTCTGATTTTCAAAATTGTTTTCCAAAAGGAGATCAAAATGCTATCAACACAATGTAGATTCTTGAATAAAGTGAAGACACAATTGACGAATCAGACAACGAATAGAGAGCTTACAAGATCTGAGAAACCCTAGCAGAGAACGAGTCTATTGCAGAGAGAGAGAGAGAGAGCACTATATATGTACCTGTGACACCTGAGAATAGTATATATGTGTGTGTATTGAGCTTGGAAGAGTTGTAGAGAAAGAGGAGACAGAGACCTATATACAGTATATATATAGTATATATTGGTTAAGCTTTGAAGAGTTGTAGACAGCGTGGACTGAGCGTCATTTTGTACGACGGACAACATTACGGCTCTTTGTGCTTGACACGTCATCATTAACGTGCACGAATCTAAAGTCGGGTCTATAAAGATCCGGTGGGTCCGAAAATTGTTCGGATCACAAGTTTTTTCAATTCTTTTACCTTTTAACCTTTATTTTTTATTTTTTGCTTTATTAACGAACTTTACTTTGGAATATTCTTTTCTTTCAAGTTTTTTTTTTTTTTTTTTTTTTTGATACATAGTTTGGATTATTATAAAATTTCTTTTTTCTTAGTTAGTTTGGAATTTATAAAGAATATTAAAATATTAAGTATAATCAAAATGACATATAATTGTGAAAGCAAATGCTACAATTATTACGAAACATGTTTAATTTGATGGTAAATTCTAATTTTAACACCGGTTTTTTTTTTATTTATTTATTATTATTTCTTTCCTTTTGATAAGAAACAATATTGCTTTTTTTTTTTCCCACAAATATTTAGTTCCAAAAATACATTTTTTCAGAGTATTTTTTTGAACTTATCCATGTGCGCATCTAAATTGATAGATTATATATATATTTTTTTCAAAGTAAAAAGTGTTAAAAATTAAATTAGTAAAATGTAAAGAGTCTAAACTGACACTCTAAAATTCACCCAAAATACTAACCCACTGAATTATCGAGTCCTCTACTCTTTTATATATATATTATTATAATTAAAATTAAAAGTAAATACGCAGTCATTACTCACGTTGGTCATAAATTTGTTTAAGAGGGAACATAATTGATATGAAAAAGAAAATCTAACTAAGCAAGACATTATACATGAGTGCAAGAAGTAAATTTAGAAGAAAAAAATAAAAATATATGAGAGAACTAGGAAGGGAAAAAACTAGGATTTTATTGAAGAAAAAAAATGTAAATTTATTTGAAAAGAATCTAAAGGGCAAAAAGAATTATAATTTTTTTTGGTACGAAAAACTAAAATAATAATTTTAGATAAAGAATGTAAATGTATATACATATAGTTATATAAATAAATAATGGCGCTCTCGGAGCGTAGTAGTGATAGTAGGAGTTCGGTGTTTGCACTCCACAGGTCAGTGTTTGAACCTTCCAAATTTTCTATATTCTCGACTCATTCAGTGTGTGGCTATGGAATTGTGCTACATTATTCCTAGTTTGATGTTATGAGATGGGGTCCTAAGAGGCCTTATTTCAGGGAACTCTTGGTCATCAATAAATAAATAAATAATGGGGCAGGCCACGCAGGCTCCGCAGCTGGAGCGACAGCTTTTCTTTGTCTTGTACTCTGAACTGGTTCTAGTGTTAAGTTGCATGGATCCAAGGAAGTGGGCCGACTTGGATGCAAACAAAAACTGAGTCAATTCCAAGGCAAATCCACATCAGCTACTACTACTCCTATATTTTACACTGCAAGTCTGTAACATTTGTTGGTATACGATACAATTGGATATTATTTGGATTGAAAATTCATAACCCAGATCCAATTTTGCAAGGTTACATTGTACAGTCGTATGTTTTGAAATAATATATATATATATATATATATATATAAATTGATTAATTTTGTTATTTTAAAGTAAATTAAGCTGACCAGCTTTTACTGCTTTCAATACGAAATTAGTCTTTGATATAATATAATATTAATAAGTTAAAAATATATTATATTTGATTTTTTTTTTTTTTTTCTGTTTCGAATAATTAAAGAATCAAATTTGTGCTAGGTCCGACATTTTTGTTGGTTATAATTATTATTATTTATTTGTCAGTATAAATAATTTCCACGCTTATTTTGTTCTTCACATTGTTCATTTAAATTCTCAATATTTTATTTTGGGAGATAGAAATATATATATATATATATATATATATATATTTTAAGATAATTATTAAAATTTCTTTAAAGAAAACATGATACCACCAAGAAATTTGTAATGATATAGCATATACCATGTAAACATCAGAGAACACATGTAGTTGATACTTAGAATCTAAGAAAATTACCTTTCTTGTCTTCAAATATGTCGAGGATGATCACATGAAGTCATAAAGAGGAAATGATTAATTAGAATCTTAGAAAATTGGCTTTCTTGCCTTCAAAAATGTCTAGAGTGATGCCACAAAGTCATTTACATTTTTGAAGTGTGGACAATCCAAGCCCTTTTTTTCAAAAAAAAAAAACTTTATGACTATCTATTGCTTCAGCTTCTCCCACACCATAAATTTTTTATTTTTTTTTAATTCTTTTTATTATTTTTTTTCTTTAGATAAATCTTAATTGTCAAACTAATTAGAGAAAGAATTAAGATTCTCTCTTGTATCATTTCATTTCGTGTCACGTTATATATTATTACATCGCTTATATAACAATTTTACATTATTGTTGACGGTAAAATCTGGCTAAAGCCAATTCTAAATTTGATGTTTGCGGCATGCCAGAACCAACAATGTAAGTAATTCAAGTGTGTTTAGTCAACAATAGTCTCGTTGAGAATTTTGACTTTCAGACAATTATAGGATAAAGAGAACAAGTATACTCATTTGTAAGTCTTAGTTAAAAAGACTTTAGTAAAGTGAATAAAATAGTAACTGTTAAGAGAATAGAAAGGGGAGAAGATATAAATATAGAAGGAGATCGAGAGGAAGACAGATTGAGAGAGAGAGATAGCAAGGTTGCTATACGGGAGAAGAGCTTAACAAATCAATAACATTAATAAAAAGATTCTGAGGGTACTGTACCTCTTACAGTTTATGCTTCTACAATTTTTTATAGAATAATATCATCAACTAATTTCTAAACATAAGCATTTCATTCACCTCACAACTCTATAACCCAACTGACTTATAAATTTAAACTAAACTAATCTAGAGATAATTATTAGTTTCTAATTGAAACCAATTTAAAAGATAATTACCAACACTATAATCCCTGTCCATCCTGTTAATTCAAATACTTCTACCTCTTCAACTTTATGTAATTTCAATCCTAGTCCACATAAAAATATAATTCATATTTAGCCCAAGCCAACTGCCACGTTATCACCACAATGTTTTACCAAAATGAGTGTCAACAAGCAGCAATTACGTTACATAGTTTATGTAATCATGATACATGAACCATTATATACCAGCAAGAATTAAGTACTAAAATTTATTCAATCCCATAAGTTCTTGGCATTACGAAAATGGTAGGGTCCTGGCTTTACCAGTTTACCATTTACCTTTTTTTTGCTGGAGAATTTTGTTGGCCCGCACAAATGACAAGCAGAATTATTGAAGAAATAAATTAAAGTTACCAAATGTTGATTCAGTTTCAGAGAAACATAGAGAAATAGAAATAGCTAGAAATAAAAATAAGAAATTAGAAACAAATAAACGTAAACGTTATTAAAGGAACCTTAATCTAGAGAAATATGCAAATTAACCCACTTTATCATATCTTTTTTTCCTTGTATCGGCAAATTAATGAAGGACAATATATTATAGGCTTTGGTTTGTTGAATAGTGAAGTTTCAAATTACCCAAAAACGTGTAAAAAATTATGTATTCAGCCTCGTTTATTTTGACATAAAATATTTTTTTGAGAAATATATATATATATTTTGTAAGTAAAATATATATATATATTATTTTTAATTGACAAAGGTTTAAGTCAATATTTACGTCGAATTTTTGAAAAAATATTTTACCCTCAAACAAACGGAGCATTCTGTTATCTACCCAAAAAAGTTGGGCTACATGCCCTTTGGTGTTAAGCAATTATATATAGTGTGTAAATTTACAGTGGCCCATTAAATGGGCAAGGCCCAACTACCAGAGTACAAACATACCCATTACTAGAAAAGACTTATCTATAAACCAACCCAAGCCAAATCCGCAAAAGAAATCCAATTGCTTGGATGATCATGATTAGTGTTATTTTTGCTATCTGTTTTTTTTTTTTTTTTTTTTTTATCCCGCCAATGTTGTTGAAAATTGTTGATTGTCCCACTCTTAAACGCCTTTAATTAGTAGACTTTTTGGAGATGAGACTTTTAGCTATTGTGAATCTTAAAATTTGCCTCTTGCTGTTTAATATTTTATTATTTATTTCTTTTTATTAAAAAAAAATAAAAATTAGCTTTCTAATTGTTTTTTTTTTTTTTTTTTTTGAGAGGGGAGCCTCTCATTGTTGTGTTCTGCTGGTTTGTTGCAATAAAATGATTAAAAATGACTAGTTCAATGTACGAGATTGTTTTTATTATACTGTATAAGAAGGTTAAGATGTGTGCAGTCTTATCTTAGCTCTCTGTATGGAGATGTTATTATCAAATTCAAAACGTCACAATAGAACAACATTATGGATGCACCAATGCAGACCATCTCGGTAATAATTTTTTTAATGATTTTTTTTTATTCTCTTAAATAGAAGTTTATTTAAAGTACATTTTCTATTAAGAGTTTTTCTTGTCTTTAAGTAGCTCAGCTAGTATGGAAGGATTTTACTCGAACTTTGAGTTGGGTTATATTATATAATCCTCCTTTTGATTTTCCCTCCAAAAATTGATGTATCTAGAATTTTAGAAACTAATTTCCACTTTTATAGTGAAGGCCTTCCAAGCCAGATTATACTTCTTCACTTTTCAAAATAAAAAGTCTAGAATTCAAGTCCTTTTAGTATATTTATTACTGTCAATGCTGCAATATCTGACCCCCTTATTTTGTTTTGATTTTTGTGCATTCTAGGAGCCCGGTGCCTTTTTCCTTTTTTATTTTTATTTTAATTTTACATTTATTTACTGTATTTGTTTTGTTTTGTTTTGTTCATTCTATAGTTGGTTTTATAATCCTTCTCCGTTATTGAGATGCTAATGGAGGCAGTTGGAAAAAGATTTGCACCTCTTTATTCAATATCCTTGATAATCTACACTTTTATACCAATGTCCAATAATTTCTATGGTTTATTAATTAATATGTCAAAGATTTTCTTCTTTTTTATTTTTTATTTTTTTATACTGGGATCTATGGATTTTGACTTTTGCGGCACTTAAAAGATCTTTGTAGGACCTTCATGTACTTGGCTGTATCAAAACCAGTTTTTGTTCCCTATGAAATAATTTGGCAAATAAAATGATCCAATATAATCTTACCATTATATATTTGGCAAATAAAATGATCCAATATAATTTGTGCTGAATCAAGTGTGAAAAAGTATTGTGTTTGCAATAGATGCTTGAGAGCTTGTGCTTCCACTGGTAGGAAAGACTCCTGTTGCTCCCTTTCTCATTTCATTTCTTTTCATGTGCTCTGTCTCTGCATTTGCTAAGAATTAATAGAATATATTATATTCTCCTTTTACGCTGAAGCCCACAAAAAGGGACATCCAAAGAATGACAACAAAGCAATCACAAATTTGAGATCCAAAAAATTAGATTTAGGACTTTATAAATATATACTTAGGTTATGAATTGAAATTGAGAGAGATTTAATCTCACAAGTCCTGGATCTATCTCATATGTGCATTATGAGAAGATAGAGTAAAAAAAAAAAAAAAAACACTGAAGATGAGTAGACGGACTGGTGAACTGGTATCATGGTAAAAAAAAAGACAGGTATTTATGTGTGATTATTTTATGATCTTTTATTAGATCTCCATATTCATGCACTTAGGTTGTCACAACAATATCGAGACACGACATGATAGAAATACACATTATTTCCATGTTTGATGGAAGGCCTACAATATTTAGTTGATGCCAACCATTTATTTGTGACAATTTTGCTGGGATTTGTTTGATTTTGCATATAATATAATTTATCAACTTTATTTGACACCGCAAGGTTACAACTACTGTAACTGTTGAATGTTTTATTAAGATGTGTAGTACATCATGCATGGACCAAGTTTGGGTAGAGCAGTATAGCTTTCAAAAAATGAAAATCAAAGTGCCAATCCAAACCCTAGAAGTTTTCCCGGTAATTATCCAGGGTGCACGTAGAATCAGGGACAACTTCCAGGACAAAATGTGCCTGGTACATGTGGAACTAGAGACAACTCGTGCTAGACGATGAATTATGGAGCTCGTGCTAGATGATGAATTATGGAGTGTTCTTAAGAGACCCGACACCACATACACACACACACACAGTGCCATTCCGCTGTAGGCCTTTTTTTCTGGACACCACAGAAAGACTAGATCATAATAGCAAGTACAAAACAGTAAGCATGTAAAAGTTTAAGCAATCATAGGTAGGAAATGTGCCTCAGGCCCTCATATGTGGCCAATTTACAATAGAGAGATCAAATGACTATTGCAAAAGCATCAATTATAATATTACACATGATCCATATGTAGTTTTGTAGTTTGGTTATGACTAACTTTTCTAAGCAACTGGGAAAACCCTAACTTGATCGAGAATAGGACCACAAAGCGAACCAAAGTCATCAACCCTAGTGTGGTAGTATGAGCTGAAGAATGTTAGTCTGGTCCGGGCTGCAGTTGCTTTGAACTTGAAACTAGCAGTCTTGAACCTGCCCTTGCCTTCAGATTTGAAGGGTACTTTCAGGGTGTCTTTGGCGGCGAATGCTTCAACCATCATGGACCCGTGGCAACCGTTCTTTGCATCTCCTACTGTGAATGTGAGATTGTAAAGCTTGTTGGGAACCGTTCGGATAATCTGGGCAATGGCACTCTCTCTCCCTGCAACCAATTCAACTGCAGCAAGGCCATAGGGGACATTGAAGTGCTTCTTATCAATGAACTTAACAGCTTTAAGGGATTCAATCATCCACCCGGGGAGTGGGGATGTGAGATCCTCCTGTTTGGGAGGAAGAAGAACACCATTGGAAGAGTTCAACAACCTATGGGGACCCTCCTCAAAACCACTATTCTTCACCAAGTTGTCTGAAACAAATCGTTAGACAAAATTGGTCAAAACCATTAAATTCCTACATAGATTTTGTGAACACAAATACAAAATTCTAAATTCGTACAAAATTCTAAATTAATACTACTTGATTAAAGAAGCACATATAGAAGTAGATTCAAAATTATAGACAGACTCTACAAATCAAACCATAGAGGTCAACATATCAACCAGTGCCAACACCTGGAAACCAATGAAGTATACAATTCAGATCAAGAGAAAAGTATCCCTTGTAAAATATTAAGAGAGAAATTAACCAAATCACGGAATAACAAAGAAACCCTGATTATAAATCCAAACTGACTATATGAAAATCATAGACCTGAAAATTTTGTTTCGGCAACCCAAAAAATGGGCTTTGTGTGGGTTGTGGACCCGGGTTGTAAATTCTCTTGTAGTTCAGTCAATAAGGGCATTTAGGGTTTGTGGTGTGGTATGAGAGGACACTGAAACAGATTTTCACTATTTGGAGACTGAATAGTGAAAATCTTTCACATGATCTACATCGTGGACGTAGACCTTACGATTTGTGTCTTATGTAGTGCATGTTCTTTCTGTCATGTTTCTTGACTGAGATCTGTTTTGTTAGCATTTGTTTGTTAAACCCATGTAAAATTTCAGATTGACTTTCATATTAGATACTGACATGTCACCAAATCTAGAGATCCCAAGAACAAGAATTAACAAAGAACCATACACGCACATAAGACCTAGATAACAAATCATCCACACTAGCTAAAGAGATTTAGTTAATCAACACTTCAACAAGTAAAACCATAGAGGTAGTTTATATGATACCTCTTGTTGGCATTGGGGGATAGAGCTCTTTGATGGCAACTGCATCCAATAGTGGGCCACAACTAGGATCCTCTTGAACCCCGGGATTGTGGAAGATCACCTTAACAAATTTGGAAGTGGCTTTAAAACCATAAGCATAAGTGTCACCTCCATCACTGCTATAGAGTGTCTGCAGAGGAAGGTCCCCTGTTTGAGGAGGTACTGAGACTCTCAACACCTCTTCTTGTGCACATGTTCTCGATGCCCCAAATGTGAGTGCATAGAGAGAGCCTGGTTTCACTTGAATTGTCTGAGAGATGGAGGCCTCGTTTCCGAGCCTAACGGCGTGGACACCGTGGGCAACTGCGAAGTACATTCCACCGGGCTGTGGCCCGCCGGAGATGTACTCGACGAAGCCATTGATTTCCCATTTGGGTAGGGCGTATTTTCCTTGGAGTACTGTTTTCTTGATGCCAGTTGGTTTTGGTTGCTCTTCAAAGTTGCCATTTGGGAGGAGGCCTAATGAAAGAAACAGAGTGAATGGGTCATTGATAGTCTTATCTATAGAACAATGTACTTAAGTCAGAAATATATCAAAAACATTAACATCATCCAATGGGAGTTTTTGTGTGTGTGTGTGTGAGACAGAGAGAGTAGTAGCTACTACATCATTGATGTATAAAATTAATGAAACGTGTAGATCCCAAAATGAGATAAAACCCTCAAATGGATGTAAATATACCACAACACAATAAAAATTTAGGAAAGAAAAGGAGAGCAAGGGAGAAAATGATGTAATGTATTAAGTCAGAAATATATCAAAAACATCAAGAAAACCCAATGTGAGTTTGTGTGTGTGTGTGTGTGTGTGTGTGAGAGAGAGAGAGAGAGAGAGAGCTACTATAACATTGATGTATAAAATTAATGAAATGGACCCTCAAATGGATATAACCATATCACAACACCAAAATTTTTGAAAAAAAAATAATTCATTAAGTTGAAAAGATAACCTCAAATTGATAAAATCGAACACATTTCAACATCAAAATCTGAGAGAAACACCTAAAATGTGTGTGTGAGAGAGCATAAATCAAGAAAAACGAACACATGAAGATGACATTTTGCTTGAAACTACCACAGAAGAGCTCAAAGGAACTTGTAAATACCAAAACCCAACTTCACAAAACAGATCATTAGGCAACAAACTTTGAAACTCAGCTAAAAAATAAAAGTTAGATATGAGCTTTACCGTCCAAAGGAAGAGCTGCTAAAGCAGAACCACCGAATAAGAAGCAGAAAGCAAGCAAAAATGAGATCAACACCGCCATTTTCACATAGAAGATAGCAAGCTCTGTGTGATATATATATAGAGAGAGATGGGTTTTGAGATTGGGGAACTAGGGCTTCAGTGCTTTACATATATATGCGAGAGAGAGAGAGTAGGAAGAGAGGGAGAAAGAGAGGGGTATAGCAACAATCACAGCTCTTTGGCCACTGCACCACACTGACAATTTTGTCTGCTTGTTTCTCTCTCTCTTCTACACAATTTATGCAATTCCATTTTAATGCTACTTCAAGTTGTAAAATCAGATGGAGTGTAACGCGCGAAATAAACAGTCAATAATCAATAGTTAAATACATTTTTTTTTTCTCGGTAATTATTATAGTTATAAACCTTGTATCTTACCAAGAATGATTGTTTCTTACGAATAAACAGTCAATAATCAATAGTTAAATACTATGTTTTATGTAAACCTAATTCGTAAAAAAAACTAATTCAAATCAATTATTAAGCTATTCAAATTGGCTCAATTTAATCTGATTTTTAAAATTTAAGTTGATCAAACCTTTTTCAACTACTTCAATTCCCTCTATTTAAATAATTCTATCAATTCAATTTGATTCTAATTTATTATTTAAAATAATTCTAAATCATACAATTTTTCTTAACAAGTGCCATTTTCATATTCTATAGGTACTCTCATTTTCATTTTGTATAATTTAAATTTTGTCATCCTTTTATTAATTTAAATCGTACCAATTCTTTACTTTTGAAATGCAGCATTAATTCATTAATGTAATTAGAGAAAATATTGAATCATTATGTTAGTGATGGTTACTACTCAAGATTAAAATATATATGTATATATATATATGAAAATTTTACTAAATTACTGTAATCCTCAATATGCAATATAAATTATAATGAACCGACATACTGCCTGCCCCATCACTCATGGATTTGTTCTTGTACAACGTCTGCTAAATCCGTGCGGGGTTCCATTTGACCTATAACTTGGTTCATCGGTTCTCACTCTGAAAAACAGCTGGCGGTGGAAATCATCGATGAAACTGATTGGGAACCGGTCAAGTCCATTGTCAGTCATTCCTTTCCAACAGCTTCCATGTGACAGTGGGCCCTACCCATGTGAAATTATGGTATTTCACGTTATGGCCTTCTCGTTTTGGTAATTATCATCATACTTTATCCTACGCGTGTACATTCATTATTCGTGTACATTCATTATGCAACGTCACGAATTTTACGCGAGATTCGATCCTAAGTTTTTTTTTTTTTTTTTTTCAGCGATCATAAGTTCACTTAAAAATAAAATTCAATGTTTTTTCTTTAATTTGATTTATAATGAAATTAAACTTAAATATTTTATAAAATTTGAAATATTTTAAAAAGCTTTTACACAAATACAAAGTGGTCAACAATTTCTTACATTTTTATTATTCTTGACATACACATGGATTTCACACTAAATCAATCCAATTTCACGTCCATATCATAATCTTTGACAATTTTATTTCATCTTGAATTTGAATTAAAAAGTATTAACATATAATTTAATGAAATCGGATATGAGTAAAAAATGAAATAGACTAGATTTAACTATGAAGTAAAATTAAAAGTCAAAATTAAGTCGTATTTAATGAGTTAGAACTTATTTGACTTGTGAATAAATCATGTAGGTTTGATTTGTGGAAAATGAAAGAATGAATTAGGTAGGATTGATTTGTCAAAATTAAGTCGGATTAACTAGTTAAGAAGTTTCAATTTTCAACTAAATTACCCTTTTTATAAACATGCTTTAAAGGATTTTTTTTATTTTTTATTTTTGTATTACATGATAAAGTAGGACTCGTTTTTAGAGGATCCTAGTCCGTGATTTGAATTTTTATCAACAAGATTAATTAAACTCATGTTCAAATTTACATCAAGATATTAATTTGAATTTAGATTTACATAAATTGAATTATACACTCTATTTCATGTCTTTGGATACCATGTGGACCATATCTTTGGATGTGATTTATCCAGTTATTGATCTCAATCCCATAAAAGTAGTATGACTTCAAATTTGATTAATTAATAATAGGGTTAAGTGCAAAAAATCTCCCTTAAATTATTATTCTTTTGCAAATAACCCCCTTAAACTAAAAAATCGTCCCCTAAAATATTAATTTGTTGTAATTAAGGACAAATTCATCACAAAAGACTATTTTACCCGTTCTCATTAATATTTTCATTTCTTATTAAATTATTTTTATTATCTTTTCTTTTATGTAAATATTAATTATACTATTTACCTTAATTTTATTTTTAGTATCAATTTATCATAAAAAATGAAAAAAAAAAATATACTACGTATATAAATAGATTTGTAACTACCATTTTCTAAATTGATTAACTTATTATTAAAATTTTATCATTTATAATAAGACGTATTATAACCAATTTAAACATTTTTATTGTAAAAAAAATATCATATTTTTCATACAATAAATTGATGAAAAATTAATAAAATACTTTTGAAAAAAATAACTTCTTTTCATGTAATATATTTATTAAAAATTAATTAATTTTTTTAAAAACTTACTATTAAAATTTTATATTTAAATAATTCATTAAAAAAATTAAACATAAATTTATGCAAATTTAATGGAAAATATATCATCAAATTAATATGAATTTTTTCATAATTTATTTAGATAAAAAAAATATATTAAATGTAATTCAATAAGAAGGACATTATGGTCATTTAATGAAAATAGTATAGTGTTTGGGGTATGTTGCAACAAAATGAGATAGTTTAAGGGTTTTCTGCACAAATTATAATTCAAGGGGGTTATTGGCAAATTCAAACATAGTTCAAGGGGGGATTTTTTGTACTTTATCCTTCATAATACAACTCAAATAATAATAATAATAATAATAATAATAATAATAATAATAATAATAACCCAACTCAAATCTTAATTTATTAAATCCATATGAATACAGCAACTTACCAAATGCCCAAAAAGCATTCACATTTAACATGTCTTAAGAAGGCTCGGTTCTTAAGGCAATAGTTTTTAAGCAATTTTTGACTCCATCTTTATTGGTGGCTGAAGCCTTCGTCTTCAGACTTGCTGTCACGTGAGCTCGTGTTTTCAATTTTCAAAAAGTATGGTTTGAATGTGATGCTAAAGTACTTGCGGAAGCTCTGCATGTGAGTTCTCAGTGTCCTTTTGTCATCGCCCCATGTATCTATGATATTCGCATTGATCAGATCCCTTCTCGTGGGTTAAGGTTTCTCATATGAGGCGATAAAGTAATCGAGCAGTCCATGCCCTTGCATCACTCTTTTCATCTTGCATGTGGGCTGATTTTGTCATCTCTCGAATTGCAGAGGAGGTGCTTCAGTTTGTCGAATTGGATTATTGTCTTCTTCTCCGCTACTTTTTTTTTCTTCTATTTGCCAAAAAAAAACTTTCATCAATACCCACCATTATATTTATTTTCTTCCTGTTCAATATGTTCAGGATGGAGTTCGTTGTACTTGCCAGTTTGAATCTTATTATTCGGATATTAATTTCGTTTTGAAGACAATAATTTATCAAGTATTGCTTACGAATTTAAGATATATAAATTGATCTTTTAAATTAAGCCTAAATTTTAGTATCATTATGATTATTAATAAATTACGGAACAATTAAAATAAAATCAATATTGTAGTTACAATTGAAACATTCAACCTTTCAACAATCAGTCCAAGCACCCAATAGATACACCATATTTTCTTCAGCCGCAGTCATTTGAAATATATGCAATTAAACATATTCTATTAAGTAAAAATAATGACTCAATAGCAATACAACGTTAAAAAAGGATTCTGACATTGCATAGACGAAAGCATAACATGCTTTAGCAAAACTGCCAAAAGCCAAAACTCAATTACAGATTGAGCCTTAGTTCAGGAATTCCTCTTCCTCATAAGCCAAATTTATCTTGCTACTTACGCAATGCTCTCTCAAGCATTGAATAGGTTTGAACTAATTCTAATTCTAAAGCGTTGATTCAGACTTTCATTGTCTCCCAAACGCAACATAATTTTAACCAATTCTGAGATTCTATCCCACAGTCATAGTCAATTGTTCCTTAGCTATTGATCTATGGTACCTGTAACTCATATCATTAATAAATCTCATTGTATATAGAATTATTGAAAGCATTTATCAATCTCATTATATATCTTTTTACATGTGGGCAGAGAAAGATTAGTACCATCCGGTCCATCCCATATGTTGTTAACATTAATTGTCTGCAGAGGCAGTGATCAATGAGTTCTTTATGATAAAAATGTGCGTCTTTGGAATGTTAGAAATCTTATGCCATTCAGTGCTTCTTTCGCTATTGTATCTTTCCGATAAGAGATCACAAATAATAATTTTCAGCAGCTCTTCTAATGCAGCAAGGCATCACATTGTATCAGGCAGAGACTCCAATTTGTGGCAGGCGCCAATATGAAGCTCTCTAGTATTCTGGTAAAGGTCCTGCATTTTGCATGTCATTGTACATCCATGGTCATCTTTCTCAACATCTTGAAAGAAGGACCTGAGCAGTAAATCCTTACAATATCGATCACCGACCAATATAATCTAAACGATAGTCTTTGCGAGTGAATGAACCCTTGAGCCATCCACAATCTAACCAAGGTCCACTTCTCAATACAAGAGCCTTTTGGGAAGAGTGAGAAATAGGCAAAGCATTGCCACAAGTGAGGTGGAAGATATATGGTCGTAACTGACATTCAATGTCGGTAAAATGTGGTTTTCTTCTTGAGCTATTCCCCAAAGTTTCATCTCTCACAATTGACCACTCAATTTCAGTGTCTTTCAAGTAAAATAGTTAGCTAGGCTTCCTACTGTCCTTATTGGAGTGATAGAAATTACACTCTCTCTGTTTCCACCATCCATTACCAATTCTAAAATTGCATTCTTTTCTTCACATTCCAAGCTGATGCAAGGGTATGGGTGCCAAGTCCCCCAGGGATCTTGCTGCTTCTGCCATTGCTAGATTCCTCCTCCTCAAGTGGTTGGTATAGGGGTAGTATATGAAGAGAGGTTTGAAAATGTCCTGTCTATAAAAAGAAATTTGGTTCCCAAGGTCTTGAAAGTGCATGCCATCATGGCATCATCACTACTATCTATCTAACAAAGCTGATCTTTCTCCTTTTAACTACTCTGGTCATGG